AGTTTTCTTCGACACAAGAATCATCAATATGACCTTCTGGAACTTTTATTTTGGCACTTCTGGTTTCCAAACGTGAATTTGCATATTAGCTAAATATTAAGTTTTGCCCAACACATTTAGATTTAACATTTACATTTAGATTTAGATTTAACATTTAGATTTAACGTTTATATTTAACATTTAGATTTAACATTTAGATTTATATTTAACATTTAGATTTAACATTTAGATTTTTATTTAACATTTATATTTAACATTTATATTAAACATTTAGATTTTAACTTAACATTTAGATTTAACATTTATATTTAGATTTAACATTTAGATTAAACATTTAACATTAGAGATTAAACACTCGAGTCTTTCTAATAAAGTTTTTGTTGTTGCTGTTGCTATTGTAGGTAGTTGTTAACACGAAACAGCACCCCAAGTATTTGTTCCCCCCTTAAATTGGTTTTAATTAGTTTTCTTCGACACAAGAATCATCAATATGACCTTCTGGAACTTTTATTTTGGCACTTCTGGTTTCCAAACGTGAATTTGCATATTAGCTAAATATTAAGTTTTGCCCAACACATTTAGATTTAACATTTACATTTAGATTTATATTTAACATTTAGATTTAACATTTATATTTAACATTTAGATTTAACATTTATATTTAACATTTAGATTTATATTTAACATTTGAATTAACATTTAGATTTTTATTTAACATTTAGATTTAACATTTATATTTAACATTTAGATTTTAATTTAACATCTAGATTTAACATTTAGATTTAACATTTAACATTTAGATTAAACATTTAACATTAGAGATTAAACACTCGAGTCTTTCTAATAAAGTTTTTGTTGTTGCTGTTGTTATTGTATCTAGTTATTAACACGAAACAGCACCCCAAGTATTTATTCCCCCCTTAAATTGGTTTTAATTCGTTTTCTTCCACACAAGAATCATCAATATGACCTTCTGGAGCTTTTATTTTGGCACTTCCGGTTTCCGACCGTGAATTTGCATATTAGCTAAATATTAAGTTTCGCCCAAAACATTTAGATTTAACATTTACATTTAGATTTATATTTAACATTTATATTTAACATTTATATTTAACATTTAGATTTTTATTTAACATTTAGATTTTTATTTAACATTTAGATTTAACATTTAGATTTTAATTTAACATTTATATTTATATTTAACATTTATATTTAACATTTAGATTTAAAATTTACATTTACATTTATATTTAACATTTAGATTTAACATTTTGATTTTTATTTAACATTTATATTTAACATTTAGATTTTAACTTAACATTTAGATTTAGATTTTAATTCAACATTTAGATTAACATTTATATTTAACATTTAGATTTATATTTAACATTTAGATTTAACATTTAGATTTTTATTTAACATTTATATTTAACATTTATATTCAGCATTTAGATTTTAATTTAACATTTAGATTTAACATTTATATTTAGATTTAACATTTAGATTAAACATTTAACAATAGAGATTAAACACTCGAGTCTTTCTAGTAAAGTTTTTGTTGTTGCTGTTGCTATTGTAGGTAGTTATTAACACGAAACAGCACCCCAAGTATTTGTTCCCCCCTTAAATTGGTTTTAATTCGTTTTCTTCGACACAAGAATCATCAATATGACCTTCTGGAACTTTTATTTTGGTAATTCCGGTTTCCGTCCATGAATTTGCATATTAGCTAAATATTAAGTTTCGCCCAACACATTTAGATTTAACATTTACATTTAGATTTATATTTAACTTTTAGATTTATATTTAACATTTAGATTTAACATTTAGATTTAACATTTATATTTAACATTTAGATTTATATTTAACATTTAGATTTTAACATTTAGATTTAACATTTAGATTTTTATTTAACATTTATATTTAACATTTATATTTAACATTTAGATTTTGATTTAACATTTAGATTTAACATTTATATTAAGATTTTACATTTAGATTAAACATTTAACATTAGAGATTAAACACTCGAGTCTTTCTAATAAAGTTTTTGTTGTTGCTGTTGCTATTGTAGGTAGTTATTAACACGAAACAGCACCCCAAGTATTTGTTCCCCCCTTAAATTGGTTTTAATTCGTTTTCTTCGACACAAGAATCATCAATATGACCTTCTGGAACTTTTATTTTGGCACTTCCGGTTTCCGACCGTGAATTTGCATATTAGCTAAATATTAAGTTTCGCCCAACACATTTAGATTTAACATTTACATTTAGATTTATATTTAACATTTAGATTTATATTTAACATTTAGATTTAACGCTTATTATTAACATTTGGATTTAACATTTAGATTTATATTTAACATTTAGATTTAACATTTAGATTTTTATTTAACATTTATATTTAACATTTATATTTAACATTTAGATTTTAATTTAACATTTAGATTTAACATTTATATTTAGATTTAACATTTAGATTAAACATTTAACATTAGAGATTAAACACTCGAGTCTTTCTAATAAAGTTTTTGTTGTTGCTGTTGCTATTGTAGGTAGTTATTAACACGAAACAGCACCCCAAGTATTTGTTCCCCCCTTAAATTGGTTTTAATTAGCTTTCTTCCGCACAAGAATCATCAATATGACCTTCTGGAGGTTTTATTTTGGCACTTCCGGTTTCCGACCGTGAATCTGCATATTAGCTTAATATTTAGTTTCGCCCAACACATTTAGATTTGGCATTTACATTTAGATTTGACATTTATATTTAACATTTAGATTTATATTTAACATTTAGATTTAACATTTATATTTTTTATTTAACATTTAGATTTAACATTTATATTTAGATTTAACATTTAGATTTAACATATATATTTAACATTTAGATTTATATTTAACATTTAGATTTAACATTTAGATTTGTATTTAACATTTATATTTAACATTTAGATTAAACATATATATTTAACATTTATATTTAGCATTTAGATTTAACATTTAACATTTAGTTTTAGTATTTAAATGTTGTTGTAAATGTGCAAAAAAATGATTGCCAAAAATTCACATCATTTTTTAAATGAGGTTTAAAGCTAAATGTGACCAAATCTTGCTGTTGTTTTTTATAATGGGCTGCTTTACAAATGGCACCCCATATACTATGACATTTTTTCAAACTCAATATGAAATTTTTAACATACCCTTTCATGACTTTTTAACAAACTATACCGTGACATTTTGCTTCAAACAAAAATATGATTTTTTTTCCCCAAAAAAATAATGAATTTTTATCATAGTCTACCATGATATTTTTATCCTTCTTTAAACTCTGATATTTTTTCATACAATTTTTTTTCTTTTCAGATATAAATTTTTTATCAAACTTTACTATAACAATTTTTTATACTAAAATATAAAATGTTTTTAAACTAAAATTTGAAATCTACAACATACTATACGATGATATTTTTATCACACTATACATGACATTTTTATCAAACCATACTACAATATTTTTTTTAAATTCTAAAATATATTTTGAAATAATTTTTCATTAAGAAAACAAAAATATAACATTTATATATAAAAATATAAAAACATTTTGTTTCAAATTAAAATGTGTTTTTGATATTTTAATCGTACTATATTATGACATTTTTATCAAACCATACTACAATAAATTTTTTTAAAAATAAAACAAGATTTTTTTTCACAAAAAAATATAACATTTTCAATATTTAAAACTCCGATGTTTTGTTTCAAAAATAGGATTTTTTTTTCAATTTTAAAAGAAAAAAATTTAACATACTGTACTAATTTTTTTATCATAAAATACTATGACATTTTTTTCTATATCAATTTTTCATCATACTATACTATGACATCTTTATCATACTATACTATGACTCTTTTTTTTTTACTAAAATATGAAATGTATCTCTTTTTAATTCTGATATATGATTTTTTTTCCAAGAAATAATAAATTTTTATCATACTATACTATGACATTTTTTCAAACTCAATATATATATATAATATATATATTTTACCCTGAATTATGAAAGTTTCAACATACTATAATATGACATTTCGAACAAGCTATACCATGACATTTTGTTTCATACCAAAATATGACATTTGTTTTCTAAAAAATATTGAATTCTTATCATACTATACTATTACATTTTTATCAAATGAAAATATAAATTTTTTTCACCCCAAAATCTGAAACTTTAAACATACAATACCATGACATTTTTTCATACTAAAATCAGAATTTTTTTCACACTAAATAATAAAAATTGTAAACATAATACACTATGAAATTTTGTTTCAAAGTCTGATATTTTTAATACCAAAATAAGTTATTTTATCTTTATTTAATTTATTCAAAATTCTTACATATAAAAATTTTTAACATACCAAAAAAAAGATATTTTTATCATACTTTACTATGACATTTTTTATAATACTAAAATACGACTTTTTTGCTATAAAATAATAAATTTTCATCATACTATACTTTTACATTTTTATTATTCTATACTTTGACATTTTTTAAAACCAAAATATGATTTTCTGTTACCCAAAAACCTAAAATTTTAATCATACAATACTATGACATTTTTTTCATACTAAAATTAGAATTTTTTTTACCCTCAAATATGAAATTTTAATCATACTATATTATGAAAATTTTTATAATAATTTACTATGACATTTTTTTTCAAACTTAAATGTGAATTTTGACCTGATAAAGCACTCCCTGCACCCCTGCTTATTTGTTGTCCTCTGTGTACTAATGTAATAATCTAAGAGATGAAATAAAACTGTCAAAGGGAGCTTCCCTATCATGACTCCAAAAATATTTGTCGGGACAAACTCAGAGGACATTACAGCAGACATGGAACAAGGTCAAAGAGCATAATCATGTTTACGTTAATGGGACAGATTTATGTGGCCTGTGTTTGCTCAGCTCCTATCTGACGTTTGTGTTTCTAGTCAATGATTTGTGGAGGGAGGAGATCGCACACGGGGAGGTGAAGCAACGGTTTTTAATTTACATTTTCATCTTTTTCTTCTGTTCTTAACTTCCTTCATGCCAATTTTCTGACACTCTTGTTCATCAACCAAACAAACTGAAAGAAAAACAGTCGACTAAAGAAGCATCAGAAGAGGAGTCTGTTGAATATGGCGGTCAGGTGTTGCTGAGGAAATCCCAGCAGAACTTCACGGAGGAATCATTGGATACCTGAGGAACAGTCTCTTTTACCGATGGCATCCTGTGTAGTGAATTTTGTCTTGTGTTTGCTACCATCCCTGCTCTTCTTGCTGCTGTCTCTGGCTCTGCGCTGGCCCTGGGTAAGCTGTTGGACACGTCTGGCTGTAAGAGCTGCAGGCTTGAGACTGTGGGTCATAATTTGTCTCATTTTGGATCTGCCACTCAACAAGAATACTACAACACAGACCACAGAAGCTGGGTCAGCAGGGACAGATATTTTGTCAGGGTCAGGTCAGAGCTCAGATGGCCCCCGGCTCATCTGTAAACCGACTGCGTTGGCGAATTATCTGCTCCATCACTGTGGCTCACTGGCCAGGCCCAGACTGGCCTCCTGGCCAAGAGGAGACCCCAACATCCAGACTCTATCCAGCCTGCTCGATCCATCTCATGGAGACATGTTACAGTTCACCAGGGACCATCTGCTGTTGAAAGATGGAGGGATTGTGGCTCTGGACTGGGCTGTGGGACTCAGACCGACTGAGAGGAGGAGGTGGGAGGGAAGGAAGGAGATCCAGGCTGGAGGGAAGACGATTGGCTGCTTCTCCACTTCCCCTCCTGTACTCCTCCTCATCCCTCAGTACTGGGGAGGGATGACGCCCCACTTGCAGGCGCTGTGCCAGCAGGCTATACATCAGGGATTTTATGTAGTGGTGTTTCACCCTCGAGGCACAGCAGGCTGCCCACTGACCACAGCTCGACTCACTGAGTTTGGAGACCCGGCTGATCTGGAGCAGGTAAAGAAAGAACCACATATTCTGATTTACAACTGTTGGCAGGTTAACATTGTGTTTATATCCTGAGGGTTCAGAGCAAAGTACTTATTACTTTTGCCAGGATTTAAAACACCAGATGCCAATGCTATATTGTTTAAAGGGGGGAAAGAAAATGGCTTTGATTTGCCAAATCAAAGCATTGCTAACATGCTAGGACAGATCATGAACGAACATAAGTGCAGTTTCAGTGAATGTTAATTTACCTGACAGTGAAACTATCTTTGATATTTTCTATTTCCAGGCCCTGGCTTATGTCCACAGCCGCCACCCGTCCTCTGCTCTCTTCGCAGTCAGTGAGGGTTCAGGATCAGGGACTCTCTTGTCCTACCTGGGGGAAAGTGGATCAAGTTCCTACCTGACAGCAGCAGCAGCCATCTCACCTGTTCTCATGGGGCAGCAGTGGTTTGAGACAGCTCTGCCGCCTGTTTACCACTGGGGAGTTTTATTTCAGCGCAAAATGCAGCTCAGAAGGTGAGAATTTTTTTTAATGTTGCAACACAGTCTTTTTATGCCATATCAGGATATAGAAACTATTTCAGTGGGGTTATGAGGGCCAAAGATGGAGGTCAACATGTTGGAAATGGTGACTCCAGGAAAATTTGGGCTGAGGCAGAAGAAAGGGGAAGGCATAACCCTGAAGCCTGGCAAATTACACATCGACCCGCTACTGATATTATCAGCGATCAATAAACATTTTTTATCTTTTTGGTGATGTCTGAGAATAAATCTGTTCCTCTTTGCTCTACAGTTTCACACAAATAGTTGCTACAAAAACTAATTTGTGAGTTATCGAAGATAATGCTTGAATTTGAAGTTTGGGCAATTATCAGTCTGTATTTTTATAAGATTCATAACCTACAAGGCAGTAGTGTAACTTTTTACGACAGTATTTGAGGTCTGAAATCAGGACAGGCTTGTCTCTGTAACGTCACCAAACTGAAAATGTTGTTTTGTTTTTTTCACCAGATATGCAAGTTCCTTCAGAGAGTCACTGAATGTGGATCAGATTCTAAGATGCTCCTCCCTCAAAGACTTTGAGGAAACTCTCTTCTGCTCTGTTGAGGCCGAGCCTCAGCAGACGGAGCCTAGACCTTCAATGAGCTCTCAGAGTCCAGGACTGAGCTCAGGATCTTTCCCCTCTCAAAGTCGGCCCTCCTCAGTAGCCTGGGCTCTGGGTGAGAGGGCCTACCTAGCGAAGGACTGGGAGAGGTACTGGGAGAGGAACGAACCTCTGAGAGACGCAGATGAGGTTGCAGTGCCTGTTCTCTGTATCTGCAGCTGTGACGACCCCCTGCTCCTGCCTGCCTCCTCCTTGCCTGTCCCCCTTTTCCAGAGCAACCCTTACTTCCTGCTGGCTTTGACGGACAGAGGAGGGCACTGCGGGTTCACTCTGGAGGGTCAAGAAGAGGGGGTGAAAGGAGGGAAGACAGGAAACGTGGAAATGGAGGAGGACAACTGGAGTCACGTTGTGGTTCTGGAGTACTTCAGAGTAGTGGCAGAGTTCCTGAAAAGGGAGGAAAGAGAGAGCGCAATCTTTGGGAGTCAACCAGAGGATTTTAGTCACACTGGGATGTGGAGCAGGGCCAGCAGCGTGGTTCCACCTCGCCGAAGAAGGAACGCAGGGATGAGGAGACCCCGAACGCTGGCACAGGAGCCGGGCAGCGTGGACACAGAGGAAAGTGACTTCACCTGGAAGAGGTCCTACACTCGCTGAGGATGGAAGGACAAGAGAGAAATCTGCAAACAGAAGTTTTTGTTTTCTTTGAGAGTTCAGTGACATAAAAGACACATCCAGAAAAGAAATGCAGCAAAATGCCTCGACATGACCTCTGGCTAACAAACACGACCTTCAAAGCTTTATTTATCTTAAAAAGTTACAAAGAATTAGAACTTTTTAAATGTTTTCATGTTTAAAAAACAAGTTTCTCTCATCTGCTTAGATAAAACCACCTTCAAAGAAAGTTAAAAAGCAGGTTGAACAAAATTGTAGATCCGTAACACCTAAATAAAAATACCTCAGACATTAAGAACAAAACTATGTGAGAAGATTCTCACAGATTCTTAAAATATTTACCCAAAATTAATTTCCATGTTCTTAAAAAAAACACACAATGGGACAAAGAAATATTAAAATTACTTTATTACAGACGATTTTTTTTGTCCAGTAGCCCTCTTCCAACAAAAAAAAAGTAATTACAAACAAAATATTACATTTATCCCCTAAACTTTGTTTCTGAATTTCTTTTATACATTTTAAATCACTTTGTCATCTGTGAGGAATAGCTTTTTCTCTTCTGCTATGCAACATTCAGCTTTTTGCACAATCTATACAATTTAATACAGTTTAATACAGGTCTCTGGACTACGGAGAATAAAACAGCAAGATCCACCAAATGACAGGAGAAATAAAGGGAATACTGATAAACAGACTATACAGAGATGTGCTCCCCCTCCTGTCTACTTTCAGCCAATAGCAGAGGAGGGGTCACAGCAGACCCTTTGATCTGGTCAATCACTTGTGCAATCAGTGCAACTGATCCAGTTCAGAGTGACCAAGGTCTAAAGCTAGGCTCTGCCCCGACCGTCTGCAAAACACGTGGGGGTTCTAGTAAACACAGGAGAGGGTTTAAATAAAAGTTGCCACTGGTTTGGCCAGACACCATCTGAAACATAAAACAATCCTTTCAGGGATAAAAGGAAATAAAACACTAAAGAAGCCGAGAACAGATCAGTAAAAGATGTGGGGTCCAATGGCATACTGGCTGAAGAGAGAAGTGAAACCTCCACATTCTGTGGGTTTTTTCTTTTCTTTTCTGTTTCAGAGCTGAGCCGAGGAAACCAGCTGAGTATCAGTTCCGAGTGCATGGTGGTATGATTTATCAAGGCAATACTTAAGTGCAGTGTGAGAATGCTTTGTGTAAAACCACAAGAGGGCGCAACTTTCATCAATCAAAATAAAAGTCCAAACACTATCAGTGGACCCCACAACATCTAGAGTAACCCTTGGTAGATTTCAAACAATATATTTTCACTGTCTTGTGCAAGAATTTGGAATGACTTTCAGGTTCTGGAGTGTGCCGAATATCATCGATGCAGACGCAATTCTTACAGAGTGTGTTTTTGAAAACAATCTTTTCTTATTCTTTCTTACTAAACCTTGAATTTAGGTCTGAAAGTCTTAAAACAAAGAAATCTTACATCCATGGGTTAGGTTTTCTATATTGGGAATCATCAAAGTGTCAGTAAAATACAGCCAGTGCAAAAGCAATGGCTACACATAACTACATTTGAAATGATGTGCAAAATCACTCTTATTCAGCATTAACAAAATGTTGCCGTTTCTCAAGGCAATCTGACCTAGAGTTGTGTTGTTACCATCCACAACAGAATATCTGTAACATGTTTGTGAACTCGCAGCTGCAAGGAAGACAGCAAAGACCCAGCGGCTGTAAGTCGTGTGAACACCACTGGTGTAAAACCATGTCACTGTGTCTGTATCACAACAGGTTAGTTTGACTCTGATTTGTCGATTAGATTTCCATATTTTTAAATTCAAAATATACAATATTAACAGGTTTTCTGTACATTCCACCTCTGAGACTCATAATGCATCATTTCTGCATTTTACAATAAGACTTCCACCTTTATTTCTCTAGAACCCTTCTCTTTGAATAGATTTATATTATAATAATAATACATTTCCTTTTTTTTCTTTACTTTCTCTAAAAGAGTTCCTCCCATAGGAGTTGGGGAGGAGGTGATGGCCACACAGAGCTCACACAGGGTAGATACAGAGTTAGAAAGGGAGGGGGGGCTCTGTGGTCAGAACGTGGGTGAGACAGAGCGGGGTGTCAGAAGGGGGAAAGTCGCAGGGGCATGGCAGCGGAGATCACAGCATCACCGCCCATCAGCCGACACGCTCAGCCGTCACCCACCAGCAGGGAGCGGGAAGCGGCTCTTTCTGCTTCCTGTTTGTTCAGTAAGCCCCTCCAAATGATCTTTATAAAACTCAAAACAACACACACACACACACACAGATACTTTGTAGGCAGCTGAGACGCCGATTCAAGCTAACGACTGCTAGGTGCGCAACTTACCAGTTTTCACTACATTTCCCAACCTACATGCATTCATCATCCAAGTGTGCAAAGGGAAAAACTCTCCTCTGGGGAATTCAATTTCACTTTTTTAAGTGTTTGTGTGAATATATGTGTGTGTATGTGTGTGAATAATCATTGTTAAATCACCTCACCCTACTGTGCTGTTGTGAAGCTCTACTTTGAGGTAGGCTAACAGGCGTGGTTATATTCAGCATCACCAATTTAGACCAAGAAATTACTGCAAACAAGGAACCGGTGAACACCACTTTGTCGACTATTCAAGTAGAGGTTCTCTGCTGCTGATAAATCCTCTCCGTGTTTAGGCTGCCGGTTATAAAGGCTACAGTTTTCTTTTGACGCCGCGTCCACCGAGCAGGCGAAAGTGAAAAGGAGCAACCTGTGGAAACCCAAGAGTCGAGCCAACAAGGCTGAGCACGCTCTCACCTGATTCTGCAACACATGCAATTACTTGGCCACAACTGATTAACTAAAGCTGCATCTCTGGCACAATCTCATTAAATATTGGCATGGATGACTAACTTGACAATCTACACGCCTTTACCTTTGGCATCTTTGGCATTGAGGACTGAGAAGGAAGTTGTTTTTTATTTGACAGGTTCACTTAAGAGAGTTAAAGTCACTGAGGCAGGAGTGAAAGGTTTACACACTTACAGCTCCCTCTGATTCACCAAGACTGTCCCTGCGCTGTGACCATAACGTCACTGATACCAACTGCTACTCACCTGCAACAACTTTCTTTTTCCATTCCTCACTGAACCCGTCTACAGCGTCTGCTCACGCCTTTAAGCACCTCCTGTCTTCTCCTCTCCCTCTAAGATTGCACATAAACAATAATCTCATTGAATTACATCAGTAAGATGTCTGTGCTTTGAGTGGTTCGGAAGAATTTGCACGAGGACAGATTTGTAAATGTCATTCTATAAACAGCGTCCTGAATCAAAGTTTTCCCATAATGCACCTTGATGTGCTATCATGTTAAAAATAACACTGCAAACAAACGACTTGAGATTAAACTTCTGGTAGTAAATATACAGTATATATGTACTACTCTGGCTGTATGGCAACAGAGACTAACACGGCAAACAAACACAGAGCTCAGCAGGCTACAGTAAAAATGACACTACTGCACTGTGGCATTCTTTACATGGCTGTCAGCCATCTTGAATTGGTCTCAAGACTTCTGGGTTTCTACAGACGGCAGCGAGCGCTGATCACAGAGAGTCGAAGTGGTGACAGGAGAGAAACTCAGCTGAGGTAAACCGAGCGTTAACACTGTTTTAGGTGAACTGTCGGAGACAACAATTGTGTGGGAGGCGTGTGTGTATGTGTGTGTGTGTGGTGCATGCATGGTGTGCGTAAGTGTGCATGTGTGTGTGTGTGTATTTTAGGTGTAAGACAGGTGGGATCCATTGGAGATCTGAGAGGTGATGCTGGCGCTCCTGCTCATGCCCTGTTCATTCCTCCCCCCAGATGACGTCCTCCTCATAGCCTGCGGGCTGTTCCTCACCCCTCCTGCGCCTCCCCCACTCCCCCTCTGACCCCCTCCTCCAGGGTGGTGGAGGCTCCAGGGTGGCGGGCCCCCAGCCAGCATGGGGTGACCCCAAGGCTGCTGAGAGCTGGAGCCCCCCTGGTGGTGATGACTGTGGTGGCCGCCTCCTCCTCCTCCTCCACTTCCAGGCCAGTGGCCTCCCCCCTGAGCTCCTCCACCTCCTCCCCCCCAGCCTCCCTGAGAATCGGGGGCCAGGTTAGTAAGCACCATGTTGCTGAAGCCGAGCCTCATGGACTCTGAGTCAAAGGCCTCAATCTCCCGGGCCTGACGCTCCAGCAGGGAGCGAATTCGCTCAAGACGCTCGTTCTGCAGGGCGAGCATCTCCTCCTCGATCTGGGTGGAGCAGATGATTTTGAAGTTAATGTCAGGTGAGAGGGAGAGAACATTTCTGACATTTGTCTTCTTAAACAACAAGCTATAGTAAGTTCTTGGTTAATTAACACTTAGATATATAATTCATTTTCCCTTATGTGTGTCAAAAGAAGATATTTCTAAATAAAACATCAACAAGACCGTACACAACTTCAACACTAAAGCACTCAGAAAGAAGTGATTAATATACAGCCCAGAAGTCACAGCCGTGGTGTAAAATTCACTCTTAAAAACACAGACACACATCCTGGTCTAGCATCTTTCTTACTTTCTGCTCCAGCAGAGCTCTCCGCAGAGAGACCCTCTGCTCCAGATCTCTCCTCTCCTTATCGTGCTGAGCATCCGTCTGCATCTTGATCTTGCTCTGGTATGCATTGAGAAGCTCCAGCTCCTGCTGCAGCTGCATCCTCAGAACCTGACACTCCCCCTCCTGAGCCTCGTCCAACCGCAGCTGAGGGTGAAAGATGGAGAAAGAAATGAAAAGAGAAAGATACTTATCGTCTTCTTAAGCATGTTTGTTTGTTTTTTTATGTGGACTTTCTTCTCCTGAGTACTCACAGCCTGTGTGGAGAGCATTTCATTGATGGAGTGGTCGTACTGCTCGGCCAGGATGGCCAGCTTCCTGGTCTGCTCCTCTTTCAGTCTCTTCAGCACAGCCTTGTGGTCAGACTTGGGTGTGGTCTCCAGCAGGTGGTTCCTGAGGGCTTTGTACTGCCTGGTCTGAGTTTTACAAGTCTCCTGGAACTGCTTCTTAATCTGGAGCTCCTTGGACTGGAGGAGAAAAGGTAAAGAGAAGATGGTGAGTGAGGGGGCTTTGCCTCAGTACTGTAGGTGTTACGCAGTTTGTGGCAACATCACTTTAAGAACTACATTCATGTGTCTCTGCACCTTTAAGCTCTTGGGCTGCTGCCGGACCTCCATTACATGCTTCCTCCTGAGCTCCCTCTCTCGCCTCTTGTTGTACTCCAGCTGGTTGGTAAGCTCCGTCTGGTGCTGGGTCCGGATCAGCTCGGCTCGTGCCTTCTGAATGGTCCCCAGGTGCCTGAACTCCAGCTCCTGCATCGACTCATGATGCCTCAGCAGCATAGCGTGCTCCAGGTCCTTCTGTGTCTGCCGCTTGTTCAGCTCCTGGAAAAAGAGAACGTGATGTTGGACTTCAATTACAAGAAACACATCAAAAAACGAATAAGGGCCACCTCTGTCTTTATGACTGTATACCTCTCTGGCGAGATCTTGCTCCACATTGTGTCTTGCAATGAGAATCCTGCGCTTAAACCGCCGACACTCGAGCTCCAGGTATTGCCTCTGCCTCCTCAGCAGGTTGGCCTCCTCCTCCGCCTGCAAAGTTTAACCATGTGGCAAAAAAATAACCAAGACGCCTCAGGAAAACTACAAATGTCAAGCTCATCAAGGCTGGAAAATCAGGTCCTATGTAAAATCTCCATTTAATCTTGGCAAACGTGCGTACTGTGTGGGAGATCTCTGACCTGGTAGTGTTGGATGTTCTCCTTTTGTTTGGACAGCCACTCCTGCTTCTCCTTCTTGGGAGTCGATTGGTTCTCACTCAGTTCCTGTCAAGATAATGTGCAGTTTTTTTCAATCATCGAGGGCACTCATCACCATGTTTTTTAATGTAAGAGTATGACTTTGTGTTTTGTAAGTCTGAGTACATTTTCACACTAAATTTCGGAGAAAGATAATGTCAGTTTGTGTTAATGTTGATAGCCTCGTATCACCCAATGCAAATGATATGAATCACACCATATTAAATCGGGTTAATGACAGCATTTAATGAAATCGCAAATCAGTTTGAAGTAAGCAACGCAGGTTGTATTTCCAAATCATTTCACTTCAGTTTTAGCCTCTAAGTCATCTCAATTTGCTGCTTCTTGATGTTGCTTATGGTATAATCTATTGAATATAATTCATTTTTTTTAATACTGCAGGAAAAATAATAATCCTGAATGACGTGGAGAAAACTGTGAACACTTAAGTTTTGAAGATGCATGTGGGAAAAAGTGTGCCACCTCTTTGAGCTGCTCCTTGCGTAGTTTATATTCTCTTTTCTGTGACTCCAGGAAGCTGCTCAGCTCTTTCTTCTGCTGCACCTGGATGTGCTGCTGGAACTTCTTTTCATCGTTACTGAACGTTTTCAACTAAAAAATGAGTCAAAGACAAAAAAAAAAGGAGTTTCAGTTAAGGAAACATGCTTTAAAAACAGAAACTTCTGAATATTCAAGTCCAGAAATAAGGATCAGGATCAGTGGGTCTGTGTTTAACCTCAGAGTTTATCTTTTGTCAATAGTTTTTCTTGAACGTACGTCTTTATCAAGGGCTGCCTGGTGCTTTTTGAGGAGCTTCTCCATCTCCTGGGTAAAGTTGCTCCTCTGACTCTCCAGCTCTTTGTCCAGTCTCAGTCTGTGCTCATCCATCTCTCCTTTCAGCTTATTCTCCAGTGCCATCAGGTGCTTCTGATGCTGCCGCCTCATGCGTTTGTACCCTGACATCTGCTCCCGCAGCTCTGAGTCCTGCTCATGCTCCTGCATCTCACGGGTCACCTGCAGAACAGAATCGGCAGTCCATTGAGATTTGAACGAAAACGAGAAAAAGTACAACTGATAATAAAATATAGATGACTTTAATTATTTGAAATGAAAGGAGTGAGGGTAATGCATATGGGAATAAACCAATGTGTTCTCACAAGTGACGCTGTGCGGATGGTGGCGAAGTGCTCTCTGTTGCGGCAGTGCTTCTTTGGGGCCGCGGCCGGAGTCGGCTGAGGCTCAGAGGGTTGACTTGTGGCCGCCTGCTCCCCAGAGAAACTCTCCTCTTCCTCCTGGAGACAAAATACAGCAGTTAACAGATTATGTCGTTGTAATATTTAAGAGCTCACATGCATAATAAAAGAAGCATGGGAGGTTTAGGGACTGAGAGAGGAAGTGATCAAGACAGTAAAGGAGACAATCAGAGAGGGAGTCTTGTATTCAATAAAACATGCCTTTGTGAGTGCAGAGAAAAACTCTGTGACAAACACACAACAAATCAAACAATCAGACGTTAGTTTTCATAAAAACACATGAGAGTAACAGAGCCCAGTTATGAAAAGAGCAAACACAGTTTACATATCTAAAAAAAACAGTTGTTTGCTGTTCTAGTAAAAGAAAATAATGCTGGCATTACTTTTAACAACCGAACAAACACTGTAAAAAATATGCTAATGAAAGTCCAGTCCAGACTGCAGCAGGGTGTCGCAACTCAAGGAAGAACATTTATGATCATTACGTTATCATTTTCTTAAAGTAATAATCATCATATTAATCATTTTGCACTGCAGACGCAGTAGTTCTTCTACCTTAGCGTCTCGGTCTGATTGCATTTCCATGAAGTAATAATCATAAATGTTCTTCCTTAAACTGCACTCGGTGACCGACTCATCAGACGTTTGATGGCTAGTAGTATGGCTGAGAACCTATATATACGGTTGTTAGGTGCTGTTCTGAGCATTATTTGTGGCTATAGAGTGGCATTTTGGTTGAGGTTTGTTTACGGCTCCTACGACCGCTGTGTATTATCCTATCTATCCTGCGGTTGTTACTAAAGTTGGTATATTTAGAGGTTGGCAACATTCATCCCTCGACGGGTTGTCTAACTCTGTGTTAAGGTGCGTTTGACCCTAGATTAATTTTATGCCGGAATATCCCTTTAAATCTATAGAAGTGCCCTTTATTTAGCAATGACAATGATCTTTGTGTTTGTCTGTGTAAATTCACCCACCGGTTTGAGGTGTATGACAGAGCTGTTGGACATGACCGTGTGGTCTCCCTCCATCAGGTCCAGCTCGCTGCGGCTGTCCTGGGCTGCTTCATTCAGACTGTTGACAGAGCTGCTCTGCGAGCTCGCGCTGATGGACATGCTGGGGATGGACTGATTACTACCAACGCTGTTCACCGTTCCTGTCCGACCCCCACCCTGCTCCAGCTCCTGGAGATGCATCAGAAAGAGCAAAGCGGGAGAAAAGGAAAGACAGGGAGGGAGAGTGAAGGAGCAAGAGAGAAGGAACACGAGAGAGACCACAAGACACAGACACACAGACATGCGTACAAACCAATGTATGCTGGGTTATTTTCTCTGCTTGGTGGAAACCATAAGAATTACAAATGTATCTCTGTGCTTGAAAAATATCTTATTCTAGCTTCACAACGATTTTCAAATAGACATTTTCAGATACCTCATCTCCATCCTGGGCCTCTGCTGTTGGTCCGTTGTGGGCCTCTTGAAGGAGGATCTTCTTCATCTTACGGTACTGCAGGTTGTCCAGCTCTCGCACAGCATCCTTGGTCCTCTGAATGAGATCCATCAACACGGAGTCCGGACGTTCACGCTGAAGAAACGCATGCTGCATGACAGGGAGAGAGAGACCATCAAGAAAGAAGGTGTTTACGGGTTAATGACCACACAAACCGGCTCTGTCTCCATCTTCATTGGGAAAAACTTATATGGTGTACGGGAATTAGCTTAGAACTTTTGGTACTTATTTGGACTATGGGTTTATTTGATATGGGTGTGTGAAGTTTCTTTCGATTTCAAACTTAGTGCACCTCTTTTCATTTCAACCAACTGAATGAGATTAAAATCTGAGAATTTTGTCTGAGACATTGTACAGTTTTAAAACTTGACACTCACAAAGATACACAGTGTGCTGTGCTTTAACTCTCAAAGGACGACTTCCATTAGCAATACAGAGTCCATTAGCAGGCTAAGTGACAGCTGCTCAGTTACTTAACGATGAATGCTGAAGTCACATCTCCACAGTTTTTTTCTACAAAACAAAATGGGCTTTGTGTGTGTGTGTGTGTGTGTGTGTGTGTGTGCGTGCGTGTGTGTGTGTTTGAATCCGGAAGTGGAGGATTAGTGAATGAAAATAGAAGCTTACAGGGGACAGAGCAGAACAGACAGCAAACATCAGAGGGAGATTTATCACCAGAGGGCTTTGTCGGTCTCCCATCTTAACACACTGACCCTGCTCTTTGTTTCTGTGTCTTTTTTGTGCAACGTGTGCATGCACTTACGCCCAGCAAGTCGTCTGAGTGTGGTCTGTCTTGAGGGATTTTCTGAAGGCAAGAATCAATAAAGTTTCTAAAGTAATCCGTCCTGAAAGAAACATGTAAGACAAAAAGGGTCAAAATGAGACGGACATGGATTCACACAGAACTGTCAGTGTTTTAATGCACACACAAGGTTACTGTTTAAGACCAATAACAGCCTTTTACATTATCTTAACTCATTCATTGTGGATTTAAGGACATGTCAGTGTGTGTGTGTGTGTGTGTGTGTGTGTGTGTGTGTGTGTGTGTGTGTGTGTGTGTGTGTGTGTGTGTGTGTGTGTGTGTGATCTCACCATTCACTGGATTGCAGTGTAGGGCTTTCATTCTGCGCTATGTGGTATAAGGCACTCATTGCATTCATGTTAAACAAGGGTGGCTTCCTCTCCGCTAGAAGAGAAATAATTCACTAACATTACTTCATGAACCTAAACACACATCAATCACATCTACTATGTCGTTATCATGAGAATAAGGAGGCTGTGGGAAATGATAATAAAACAGAATGAACGCCTTTGTTTTATTTAGACAATGAGTCAAATATTGAAAAAAATTGACTGTTTAATTACAAATATAAAACCATTTTTCCCTCTTTGATAAACAACCCTTCAGAAAATTTGGGAACTGAAGAGACCTGGTCCCTTTCTTGCCTGATACAGGATTTCACTTGCTCAACTGTTTGGGATTTCCTATGTTGTATTTTTTGAGTCAGGAATGGTCCCAAATGTTTTCGGCAGGTGACAAGATGGGATTGCAAGTGGTCAGTTTAGCACCTGGACTCCTCTATTAGGAGCCAAGCGGCTGCAGGATAAAGTTTGGCATAGTCTTACGTAAATATAAAAGGTCTTTCCTGGGAATGCAATGTCTAGATAGCCGCATATCTATGTGAAAACAAGCACTGTGCATCCCCGTACCACCAGTGATGCTAGCCAGGGAATCCTCCCCTGCTCAGAGTGGAGGATGTGGCATTTAAGGTTTCCAAAAAGTATGACAAATTTTTATTTGTCAGACATGGAAAAGTTTCCCACTTCATCTCAGTCCATCTCCAACGGGCTGTAAACTTTATTACTGTACACTTTGAAACATGTTTGCAATTATTTTGACAAAGAAATAAACAGACATACACAATCACCTACCTAATTCTATACAGGTGATCCCTAATGACCAGACGTCCACCTTTCCATCATACTGACCCTCGTCCATCGCTAGAATCACCTCTGGGGCCATCCTGAATGAAGTGATGAGGAGGGGCAAAGAGGCAGAGAAAGAATGACAGAAGAGAGGATTTTCATGGATACTCGGTTGGTCTCATTTATTTAGTGAGAAAGAGAGGCTGGTGGTACCTCCGATGGTGATATCTCTGCACTTAATGCACGATAAAATTAATGTTTGAAATTAAATAACGTTTCTTAAGATTTATTTTGACAGTTATTATTATTAAGAGCTCAATAATGAAGAAACTCTGTCCCTTATAATCACAGCAACAGACCATCTGAATGCGTCACACAGCTTTAGCGCGTGTGCCAGTATGCAAATACTTTTAACACTTTGACCCATGAATCTGTTTGTCTTGATCATGGTAGTTAGAGGCTAAGAAGGAAGCATTTTTTTTAACTGCACTTAAAACAAGAATTACATATCAATTTATTCCATTTTTACTAGGGGTGGGAGAAGAAAATCAATTCACATAAGTATCGCAATTTTTCGTTTTACAATTTTAAAATCGATTTTTTTGTTCAATTTTTTTTTTTTCTTCCAAATTTAAGAACAAATCTTAAAAACTGACTTCCATGTGATGTGTATTTTTTTTGGGAAAATATGGTTCCGGGAATAGTCAGTAGACAATCATAATTGTTTAATTGTTTCACTGGTGTTAAAAATGCAGACTTAAAATCGAGAAAATCAACAATATCATAGAATCACAATTTAAGTCGAACTGGCATCCAAAAAATCGTAGAAGACTCAAATCGGGAGAAAAGCATATCATCCCAGCCCTGGTTTTCACTCACCAATATGGGGTTCCAACAAAGGAGTTGGCAGGTGAGGCGATGGAGGCAGAGCCAAAGTCTGCCAGTTTGACCTGCCCAGGCTCAGTCAGCAGAATGTTTCCCGCCTTCACATCCCTGAGAGAGAGAAAGAGACATATGTTAGGGTGTGTGCGAGAGAGACAGGGAGAGAGAAAGAGACAGATCAGGACAAAACGAGACAGAAAGAGGGCAGGAGGGTTAAAGGGATGTTATGTTCATTGAAACCTCGCTCACCTGTGGATCATGTTGTGGGAATGAAGGTAAGCCAGCCCCTGCAGAGCACCATGTGTTATGGCAGCAATCTCTACTTCTTGTAGAGGTTTCTTATGAACTGAAAGAAGAGGAGGAGGCGGAAATTTAAGCAGGAACCACATTGAGCTGGTGTAGTTGAGACAGTGACCTCCTCTCTTCAGAATGACCAAAGCTCTATGACGCTACTGACTATATGAGAAGTTGACGACCCCCCAGAGTCTCAAACCTGAAGCCAATGTTGAAGTCCATTTCAACTGCATTATTTCTGATTACCAGCAGGGGACACTACATCTAGTTACAAAGAAGGAGTTTGCAGGTACTGTCTATTTATAAGAAAGTGATCCAACCTCTCATTTGGATGAGAAAAATTTTCAGTGACTAGTTTTATGTATTTTTTAAAACAGCTTAATTTTTGTTTTAATTTGTGATTCCATTTAGACTAACTTGAAACTGAAAAGTCACCACCGAGGGGGAAAAAGCCTTGAATTTTGCAGCATATCTTGACCAAACAAGACATTATAGCGTTGGTTGTTAACACACATTTTTAGTAGTTCCATTATCAGAGTCCACTCTGTCTGTGTAGTCTATTATACACAATAAACACCGGCTTACCTTCAAGCAGGTCGGAGGCTGAACCAAGACAGTACTCCATCACCAGCTAAAAACAGAAAAGCTCTTCAGAACAGCTGCAGTTGTAAATATGATCATCTTCCACTTCTGTACATGTAGACAAACAGCTGACTCACCCATGCTGTGTGTTCACGGAGGTAACAGCCTTTGTATTCTATACTGTTTGGGTGCCGGATCCTCTGGAGAAACTTCACCTCCTTTATGATGTCCTGCCATTTCTGTGAGGGAAGACATGTTGAGAGTGAGTGTGTGGAAAATATGCAGATGAAGGAGAAACGTGGTCCTCTTCACGAACTGTGTGAAGCAGAGTGAACCTCATCTGGGACAGCAGCTCTCTCCAGGGGAACAGGAAGGGAGTCCTGGATAAAACTACAGAGTTCAGTGGTTTTATTAGGGAATTCCAACCCTGATGCAGTAGTCCAGCAGCACTTTATCAGGCCTCAGACTCCCTAATATCAAGATAATCTCATTCCAGATGACGGATTAACATGTAACAAAGTAGTTTGCGGATTTCTGCTATTTTGTTGATTGCAGGAGCAGGCTCTTTGTTTCCTCTGGTTTTCATGTTCAAACGTATACTATGAGAAGGCACTAAGATGTTAAACCTGAAGACTGTATCATAAAATGCATTCAAGAGAACAAGGGTCATAAATAAATAAATAAATAAATATTCTTTTTATTCTTTTTCACAGGGACATGAGCATGGATATGGAAAGTTCACGACAAGTGTAGAACACCTTTGCAGTCTGTAAATCCAACTATTGTACAAATCAAAGACATTGGTAACCTTTTCTTTTACGGTACACTTATTACCAGGTAATTAACAGGTAATTACCTATTAACAACATCAAATTATCTGGTAATTACATGATAACTACTAAGTCAATACTGTCTAGATTTTCTTTTTTTCTGTGCAGCTCCATTTTCAAAAGCTATTTGAGGTTCTTATTTTCTATGAGTGACACTTGATACAGCTTATGGGCATGCCAAGATTGCGGAGCGATACGCTGTTTGAGCCGAGCATTATCACAGCGTCTCACCCGCCGAATGTGTACAATGCTACTGTGCAAGTGGTGGTTCCAGGAAGCGGAGAAAATCCTGGAAATACCAGAGCAATTCGACTTCAAATTTGTATGATGATGGAAGGTTACCTACCTGGTAGCTAGACAGTATCGACTTAGTAGTTATCGTGTAATTACCAAATAATTTTATGTTGTTACTAGGTAATTACCCACTAATTACCTGGTAATAAGTGTACCGTAAAAGAAAGGGTTACCAAGACATCTAACTCACCTCGTTGGACTGTTTGCCACTGTAGGACATCTTTTTGATAGCCACCACCTCATTGGTGCGCACATCCCGTGCCTGAGAAACACAACCGACAGTTAGTGAGACTGATGTTCAGAGCACATACCACACAACACAGCACAGCACATCTCATTCCTTCATGGAGGATATGTTTTTACAGACCTCGTCCTTTTTTAACCACACTGTGTACAGCGTACAAGAACACAAGTTCTGATGTGAAAGCAAAGCTGAGTCACAGCAGGCTGGAGCACCTCTGTGCTATTACACCTCATAATAACTTTGCTTATGAGTTGTTTTAGTGCTTTGTTGAGATGTGATTAGCTTAATTTTTAAGAAAACAACAGCTGTGTTTGATGTGATAGTAAACAAAACAGTTAATTGGTCTTGAGATGTTTCAGCCTTTTGTTTCTGCATTAGTTCAAGTTCAGGTTTATGGGTCTGTGTGAGGACGTACAAAGTAGACAGCGCCAAAGCTGCCATGGCCGATCTCTCTGAGGTCCGAGAAAAGCTTCTCAGGGTCTTCTTTGAAGAAAAGCTCAGCCACCTCCGGATCCTTCAGGCTGCCTGCCCTTACAGAGGAGGGCATCCTGGTTGACGTAGTCCCTTATTACCCACACAAAGGGGACGGGACTATCTGGGTGCTGAGCTATGCCGAAGCAGCCGAAGATTCATTTGCAGTAGTGGTTGGGCCTTAGGAACCGGCACATGGGGCCCTGGAGATTGACAGAACAGTCAGAGGGAAGACAAGGAGAAAAAGATGGATGTGTTAGAGGAGATGAAAACATCGGCTTATCCTAGTCTGTACATAAAAGGGTCTATCTGCTCAGATTAGCTACGTTTAGTGACACCATTGGAAAAGTCAACGGCCAAACTAAAACATGATCCTTCTATCCAGTGTTGTACCAAGACATACACTACATAAAGACGCTAGGATCAAAACACTGAGACATATAGCTTTAGCATGTATTAAACCAGAGCCAGCCATTAATATTTTAATTTAGTAGTTTCATATCTTTTAAATTCTTTTTTGTCAAACCCCACCAATCCCATCAAATATCCCATCCAATGACCAACACATAACCCCCCTGATCCAACATATGTGTCCCCCAACTGGCAAAAGACAGTTACTGCTCGTTTGGTAAGAATGTATTCAAACTGGTTGAAGAAAGCACTGACTTTCAGGAAGGTCAGCGGCTCCTCTGGTGTATTTTAAAAACATAGCCTTTAGCCACCAGTCACACCTCCACTCCAAGTGCTTACTATGATATAATCTGCTGATTGCAAAGTCATCAGTTCAGACTGCCTCAGCAATTACTGCAAATGTTTAGGTAACTGGAACGACTGGGTAATGCAAATATTCCTGCTAGAGGATTGATTTTACGTCCAGTGAAACAAGGAGACCTACAGTCATGAGGAGTGAGCTACACTGGATGATCAATGAGGATGGATTTTACTGAGGATTCTCTGGTGGATGTATCAAGTTTTCTGATCAATTCGTGTTACATGCACATTTACATTCATACCAGCGTTTGGTGCACAGACCCCACTTAAGCACACACAGATGTATATTATGGGTGGGAATCACTAGTGGCCCTATGATACGATATTATCACGATACTTGGGCCATGATTCAATATTGTTGTGTTTCTAAACATTTCACGATACAGTGAGTATTGTGATACCAAATATTGGGATTTAAACATTTTTTTAACTGCTAAGCTGATTTAGCATTTGTCTTACTTTTTTTTATGTTTGTCTTATTGACGCAGTATTTTATGTTCATGTAGCACATCTTGCAAACTTTGTGTTATGTCCATTTCATTTGTGCCCTGCTTCCATTCCTACTGTGCCTCCCCAGGTGCTGTTTAATGTACTAACTTTTTCCTGCTCTATGATGTCACCTCTGCCAACCTCACTGGACAAATAATTGATTTTATTTTTCCATTTCCATAGACTTGACTTTATATAAGCAATTAATTTGGAAAAAAAAAAATAATAATTGGTGAATGAAAGGATACGATATACCACCAGACAAAATATCGCAATACTGTGCTCTATCGATTTTTTCTCCCACCCCTAATGTACACATGCTAACAGTACATCTGGTAACCTATATCAGCTGTTTCAATGAAGCTAATATAGAGGTGCTGAAAACCTGCAGTTTCCTCAGCGTCCTCATGAGGCCGGCTCCAGACGCACTGTAAGCTACATACACACTCATTCAATCAGCATTTCCACTGGTGCTTCAGTAATCGATGGGTGATGTCACTCAGGCTACAGCAATGTTAAAACTGCCTGTGGTTACAAAGCAAAGTCACTGGCTGATGATGTTGTGCCTGCATGAGAGGTTGAACCAAAGGCCGCAGCCTCGTGTGTCAGGTCCCTGTTCTGTGTCTGTGGCCTTTTGGGGGAGCAGTACACAACAGCTCCTGCCACTAGCAGCATGAACGTGCACGACCATCACCTAACCATGTTGATGTGATTCTTTTCTCAACAAGAAAAAGCAGTTTGATCAAACAGTCATCCACACCCACTGCATCCTTTCCTCTTTGATTTAAACTTCAGATAGAGTAAACATGACACATTTTTGCATTATTTGATAATGAAGAATAATAAAAAACATTCCACTGAACGTGTCAAAGAACCTTTTTACTCTGTTTTCTCATCTAAAAGTCAATCTGACTTTGAAAACCTCTATCAGAGACCAAACTAGGTGAACAACCAAAGAGTGAACAATCCTGCTTCCCTCAAAGAATCCCTCCTTCTTTCTTTTTTTAAACTTTTAATCTTAGTTTTTCTTAAGCCCTCCACACCTCAACAGCCCCTTGTTGGCATCATGGAAAAGCTCTGTGGTTGAACTGATAGATAGTTTCATTAGTATGTCTTTGACAACATTTTCCCTAACATAGCAAGCAATTATTAACACAACCAGATGTCCCAAAACCACACAGAAAGCTGAATGTCACAAGGTTTGTCCAGCTAAAAAAAGCCATCCAGCTGACTAAGACACAAAAGAGCAAAACTCTTGTACTTATATGCACAGCCCTCAAGGACAACGAACATATCTGAGAGTAGAGAAACTTACGATCGCTGCTGGGAACAAACTTTTCAAACATTAACAGGGATCCAGTCTGTTTCCTTTTAATCTGGTACCACAGAACAAAGAGTGATTCACATTTTGTCTAATTCTGTCATAATGCTCACAGTATTAGATAAGCGCTGCAATGCATAATACTTGGCTGCTGACTGTTTCCAACCACACCAAACTTTGACTATTAGGGTAAAAGGGGCCATTTAGACCAAGCTCAAAGTTGGTGTCAGGAAGAAGGTCGGATTAATGTAACTGTGAGGAGAAGATATGAAGACACAGTGCTGCTGCACAATTCAAAACAGCTCTAATGAAGTTGTATTATAGTCCAGTATGACATCTCATTATGAAGGTGCCTTAAATTGATACAAGCTCTGATGCATTGATGGTACTTTTACACTCATTGAGAAGTATACTGAAAGTGCTATATCTGCAAAATTAGACTAGAAGTGTGATAAAATATAACTACAGCAACATATCATCAATCTGACTCTGTGACACAATTATTTCTTATACTCTTCAGTTTACTCTAGGGGGTGTACCGATACGATATTGATATCAGACATCGGTCCGATATCAGCAAAAAAAATCAGATTATGTAGGCCTTCAACTAAAATCTCCGATATCAGCACTCCAATACAAGCAGTCCATTCCAGACTCCGCTCCAGCACATCTATCTTGCAGCACCCTGATCCAGCAAGCTGAGCCCACAAAATCACAACAACAGTGTGTACTAAGGTACTAACAAAGTAGCAAGGAGTAAGAGTGATGTTGGCCTTGTGGCAGTATTTTTTGTTTAAGTCCAAAAAAAGACATTGAAGCTGAGTGAAAAACTAGTCATGCACAATTTTGTGCCGATATCGATATCGGTCAATACTGAAGGCTTCAATATCGGTATTGTATCGAAAGTCAAAAAGTTGTATCGGAACATCCCTAGTTGCCTCACCCCTTAAACGGATTACAGTCTTTAAAAAATTTGAAACTAATACTTTCCAAAACTTCCAAATATCATTTGATTTTAAATGATATAATATCCGTTATACTCATCCAGGTATTGAAGAACATTAAGTTGATAAAAAAGAAACAACCCTCATTTTATATTTTTGACCAAAGGCTGCCACGAATGAAAGACAGCAAGAGCAAGCAAGAAGCAACAATCAGTGGTAGTTATTAAGCACCTAAGGACTTAAAATCATGTCCACACTTTCACACAGACATGCAGGAAGATGCTAGAGTTGGTACTACAGATGTCTGATACTGATGTCTACAAGGTCATTTGAGCCTCTAATAAGGAGTAAAAGTCACGCCAGCAGCAAACTTTTGAAGAAAAGTCTTAACTTGTTTTGCCTTTTGTTGAAGTTGTTCAGTGACGTTGTTCTGTACCAGCTAAAATGCAGGTTGGAGGTCAAAGACAACAGAACCATAAATTGCTTGTGCATTTTTGATTGCTGTGGTATCCCAATAACTAGTCGATATTGTTTGATTTTCAGTGGTATTGTACCAAAGTTAAAAATTCTTCAATCCTGACAACTTTAAAACAAAATACTATCTTTCTTCATAGCAGCATATTGGAGAGTACGATTGTTTCTCTTCTCTTGAGGTGATGATAGCATCATTTTACTCTGTGAGAGATGCATAAGAATAACACCTACGTTAATTATTAATTTGTCTAGCAGACAATGCTTCTAATTACTCTCTTTAGTTATACAAGACCTAGAAGATGATAGACACCCTGACAACAAGCGCACTTAAAATCTTGGAGAACTCCTTGAAGAGGGAAACAGGTGAAATTTGTGCGAAAATCACACATCAGCGTCATCAAACTGTCTTTGAACAGCAGTGAACTGAGAACCTCAGGTGTTAGGCAACACAAGAGCACATTCTTAATGTGTTGCAACCTCACCGACAAAACATTTCTCAACAGCAAAACAGAGGAGCTACTTTACAGTGACACAATATGCCAGCTTTACTTTTGGACCATGATAGAAACCAGATGATAAAGGATGTGGTTAAATATTGTGATAAGCTATGACTCGAAGTTTAAGGTTCACTTGTCATTGACAGATCTCTCTTTGTGTGTGCAAGAGAGAGGCTTGATCATAAATGAACCGTGGCTTAAAGTTTGGGTCGTTTTTCAAGTAAAAAGCAGAAAATTTCACACGTGGTGTTGACAAAGTAAAATCACTGCTGCACTCTAAATGATTAATTTCCCTGCACAGACAATTCTGACTGTCCCTGCCCCCAAAATAGCCTGATACACTGTCGAGGCATGAACATTAGCAGGAACAGCAAAAAATGTTAGTACTCTGCTGTCCGAGCTTCCTGGACTGTTGTAAGAAATTCAGACTTTTCCCTCCTTAACTTTGATAGCAATTCCTCATGATTTCCTCCTTTGATTCAGCACATTTATTCATGGCTTCAATTTGGAGTTTTAGCTGAGTTGCCAAAACTTCATCATTATTATTTTTAAAAGGAAAGTTACTGAATGAGTGTTTAATGATTACACACTGTAGGCAATATGAGAAACAGCAATGCTACACTTGTCGCTACAATAAGACGATGAATTCCTCTTTGTCGTGAAGCTGTAAAATCTTGTTTGATTTGTTGTCTCACAGGGGATTTTGCCGATTATTGTCAGGAAATCACAAGCAGTCACCACATCTCTGCCAAAAGTCTTCTATCTTTGTTTCATTATGTTCACTTTATAACCCTGACAGCCTTTACGGCATCAAAAGCACTTTTGTTTCTTTATCTTTCACACAAAGCATGCAGTCGTGGGACTTATTGGAACAGAGGGAAATCTGCGAGAAGAAACAACACCAGCAAAGACTCTGTTTTTTTTTGTTCAGTAAATTATCTTGGTTTTTGAACCTGTGTTTAAGAAACCTTCCCTGGTTGTGTTTTGTTAATTTCATTATTCTGCACCCACACACTGCATAATGAAAATTAAAGTTGAAGTCAAGTTTTATGGAAGTTTTTGGTTTTCTGAATAACTTTGTGAACAAATTCACTGGTTAACATTTATTTGTAACAGCCTGGACTATAATGCCATTTCTTAGCTGTTCTGGTGTCCTTGTTCTGATTGTTACATATTTTTAAAATGTCAGCCTGTCTTCGCTGTTTTTAAACAATTATGAGTGCTGTGTTCGATTAAGTTTGTAATGGTTTGAACAGATCCCCATGACAAAAAGGCCACTGGGTGTGTCCAAGCTGAGGACATTTAGAAAAGGTCATGTTGTGGGAGATGGTCTGCACACTAATGAACAAGAAAACTGCCTTTCAGGGCGTCTTGGTTCCTTGATTTGATTGCTTGTTGAAACATGATAACTCAGTGGTTCAAATATGGGAGGAAAAGCTGACGGGGCTTCATACAAATCGCTATATAGGCCCCGGATCTGCGCTCCCAAAAACAGTGCTACTTTTTTCACTTTAATCAAGGTTACACATAATATTGTTGGAAGAAAAGGTAGCTAACATTTAGCTAGCTTTCACTGAAACTATACTCTCTACTTGCAGTGTGCTGTTGCTAGCATGATAATCAAACTGGAACTTGGGTTAGTCGTTTTCAGGGATCCTTCCTCACAAATACAACCACACAGTGAAACACAGCTCAACCCAATGTCACGAGACTAGCTGCAAAATGCGGTACGCACAACACACAAACCCACCGCTTATCAGAGAGAACAGCATGTTCAAGATGTGGCCCCTGATTTCTTTATTTTGTTCATTCTCTGTCACTGTATGATATGAACCGACTCTCCTACATCGGAAAGTCACTAACAAGCCTAATGAAGAGACAACCACGACACAAAGCTGTGTCAGAGAGAGGGCGAGAGGGAGGGAAATAGAGAGATAATAAATAATCAAATACTCTATCGATCCTGATAGTGGAATTCTCTTCACTGAGCAGGGTCAGCCACACAGAGGAGAAACCCCAGAGCAATCCTGCTGTATGCTGGGTTATAGAAGAGCAGAACAATGATGCACACAAGAGACAGAAATGATTTCAGGAAGAGCTAAAAACCCATCACACTTTCTCCACACTGTTTTGATATTAAATTTCCAGAAACAAAAAACAGAACCCAACAACCACCACCCTAAAACCATATTCCCCTGGCACAGTTATTAATCGTGCTGGCTGCAGTGTGACTGTTTTTTTGTTTTGTTTTGTTTTGTCATTAGCAGATTGTCCCTGTTCTCACTTTTGCTGGTTACAGGTACATTTAAAAGATAACATATGCTATTTGATACTCACTCACACTTAGAAAATGTCCTTCAGCATGATGCTAAATGCTGTATTGCTAAATAATTCAGAGTAGGAATGCACCAAGCTGATCCACCTTATCAAATGGTATTAGCTAGGTTGAACTGCTGCACATTAGATATTCCCCATTACACTTTTTTTAAACAAAGTCAAAAGCGGTTTCATCTGAATGCTGACAACACTAATCAGAGAATGTCTGGATATTTGCATGTTCAATTTCATGACCTACATATGCGCTCTTGTTGAAATGGCTAACACAGTGTGTGTTTCTATCTCCAAAGATGGAGGGTGGGGTGTCCATGCTCCTGCTTCCCAGACTGATTACAGATTGTGGCACGGAGAAGAGGAAGTGAAAGCTCTCTAACTACCCAATGTCAACAACAACAACACAGCCCGATTTGTGGCGCTGCTGTAGAACTGATGGTTGCAGGAGAGAGGAATGGAGAGACCAAACACTAAGAGGATTTGACCCATCCCATTTCCCTCACAGGGCTCCATTTGCACTTTTCCTGTTGGATATCATGAGCATCAACAGCACGGTGAGTCTCCTCTGAGGAAAAAAAGAACACTTAAAAGAAGATGACTTGTCTTTGACACCTCAAACAACGGGACAGACACACGCCGAAACACTAAAAAATCTCTGAGGATTTCACTTTGTCAAAACAAACAGAAGCATGACTGGGTCAAAGAGCAGCTTGGACTCAACGTGATATGATTCAAAATGTTCAGAAAACCTATAAAATCTAGCACCAAACCTGGAGAATAAAATAATTGAAACATTAATCTGCATCCTGAATTTAAAAACAAAGGTAGACTTTATCCATCAGGATTGTTTTAAATGTCTGCACACAATGAGTCATCTGTCAATCACCTGGAAAGGAAATGTTTTTTCTGGTCTACCTCTCCTCAGATTTCTCCTCGCTCATAATCTGACTCATCAAATATGTTGATTTCCGAATGTTTTCAGCCTCAGTCTAAGATCCTGAGCAGATGTTCTTCTTAAGGAAGTAGAGCCTGACTTTTTCCAACATCACTTCTGTCATGACATTGAAGACGCTACTGTCAGTCTGATCCGTCAACAAAATTAAAACATAAGGACAATTTCAATTTGATAAGCACTTAATTCAAAAGGAGATTCAACATGGTTAAAAATGAGAATGATAAACAGGGTTTTAATAAACTGGTGTTGTGGTGGCAGTGCTGCTGCAGAGGATCATATTGTTGAACCTGCACTTGTTCTGCAGTGGCTGACTGTCACTGACTTGATGTAGACTTTAGCAAGCAGAGCAGGGTTTGCTCCAGTGTCTAATCCATTTTTCCTAGGGAGACACTTAAATCCATTGTGCAGTTGCCCACATCCAGACCCCCAGATATATAACACTGACACACAAGAATACACAACCTTGCACAGGCTTCTCCTACATCAAGATGCTCACAGTCAACACCAGCTGCATAGCCACCTCTTATCGCCAGCCAGCAGTCACTCCTTCAAAGTAAAGAAAGGGAGCTGTGAATGCACTTGGGCTTTATGCAGATACAAAAAACTGAGCAGAATAGGTGTGTATGTGTGCACAGGTTACAGACAACATAGGTAAGCAGGGATGTGCAGGACAACTCAGTAAAAGGACAAGTCGTACCTGCATTTCAGATCAAGTCTATGGGCTGCATCTATAACGTGGACATTGTGTTCATCACGTAGCAAAGATACCAACAAAGATGGGTTCTTGGGTAAGCTGCTTATACTGCAGTGATCTGTGATTAATGGTACATAAAACCCAAAACATGTGTAGGTGTGAAGGTGTTTACAGCCAGCAAACCTTACACATCAAATCTGACAAATCACGTCAACAAAGCGAAGCGTCCTGTTTACACGAATGGCCAAACTGTCTCACAGCGCGCGGTTTAACCAGATTCATGATGTTTTGTAGCATCCATGTGTAGCTATCATGCATAAGTTAAAGTGCGAAGTCAAAGATAAACCGAGCAGAAGAGTAGCTTGCCGAGTGATAGCTGCTGTTACGCAATATCAACAGAGAAAACTGAAGAATGCGACTCACGTCAGTGCACAAAAACAGCCATCATCAGCGGCACAGATGGATGTGAGCTCTGCCTGTCGCTTACACAATGATTATCACCATGATTTGTCAGACTCTGCTGGCTAGTGCTGCTTGTAAACACAATGGCAGAACATGCAAGCGGCACACGGACCAATGTCACCTACCGTCAGTCACACATCGAGCTGTTCAGACAGTATGTGCCTCATGGAGTCCCCGACAGATAAACAAACTTCCGAAAACAGTCACCTCCACAGCCGAGTTTCACTTCACGTACAGCCACAGTGGACAAAAACAGAAACGAGGGAGTGGCACTGCTTGCAACGATAGTTGCATAAAGCGGATTAGCAAGCTAGTGTAGCTTGCTAACGCTTCTTGGTTTAGAGCAATCTGTTATTATTAATAACGAAGCAAAGCAACCATCATTGAGCCCTCTATCCCTGTCCTCTGTGTACTGAGATCATTTATGACCGTATTATATTGGTGAGAACCCCAATGCAAACAAGGCTTCATTGAAGTTGTCCAGTAAGGTGGTCTAAAATCTGTCGATGCAAGTTGTGACAGCAACTTTATGGTCGCTAGTGAACAGCAACATATTTAGCTGGCTAGCTCGGAAGCTAACCAATGTTGAAATGAAGCTCCAGAACAGCATGTAGCGTTAGACAACAAATCTATCCATATGTGGTTAACAGTAAGCTAAAGTTAGCTTCCAACTCACCTGGTCAAAATTAATCCACATCGGCTGGGAGTCGGCTAGTAAACGCCGCTGGTAAATCCAGTCACCTTGTTCAGGAGGCTGACGCCAAAATCACAGACGAGTCAATGCAGAAAACCAAAGTGTGAATTCACAAGCTAACAAGTTAGCACCGCTAAATTACCCTTCACTGTGCACAAACGGTCACGCTTACTTTGACTAGCTGTTTGTTCACTTCAGCGATAACACGAGTCTTTACCATGTTATTGGTGGACACATGAATAATATGAGGCTGGCGGACTCAGCTAACGGCTGTCAACGAGCAATAACCGACCAGCCAAGCTAGCTGCTGCTGCTAACGTTTGGTGGTATAGCTAGCAAAGTTTCTCTCTCTCAGAAAGGCAGTTCCCTAAAAATGGCGGCGAGGACAATCACCTCCCTTCCATAAAGCAAGGGAATAAGGGAGCAAATAAATCAGAAAGCACTGAGTCAGTGCGGCACATTTAGCTTTGAGTAAGGTAAGAGTGTTCGTGTGGCAGTTTAGGAGAGTCCTGCTGATGCTGCTATCCAGTTGTATCCAGCTGGATAGACTGTGGACTGTCCCCTCCCTGATCTCAGAGTTTGGGACTGCTGTGCCATCCAGCAACTGCAAGCTAAGATGTGAGTGTGTGTGTGTGTGTGTGTGTGTGGTCTGGATGGAGAGGCCATGCACATCATGACTGTCAACACCAGCATGATACATCAGGGAGATAAAGAGTGGCACCTTTCTTTCCTCACCTTGTCTCTCTCAGTGTGTGTGTGTTTGACCTTATGCACTCTGTCACTGAGCTCCTAACCTGATTAACCTGATTAACAGTTTCAGTCTTGACCTCTTCCGCAAATAACCCCTCTTTAACTAACACACAATGATAAAACTGTGTGATTTATCCCCTAACAATGACAAATCTACTCAAGTAGTCAGGAACGAGGGGGTCAAGGTGCAACCAACATTTGGGTCTTAAGAGACCACAATGTTCATTAGTCATTGTTTTGTCTCTGGTATGATTAATGGGAGTGTTTTTTTTATTAATCAAAGGACCAATTTGTGATGTTGTAAACATGTTGTAAAACCCCTTACAACCCCTATACAGTTCAGTGTGACTTAGATTTACCTGGTTATATAATATAGAGTGTGGTTATGGAAACAGTATAGTTGTGGGAATGTGCCAGGGTCAGATGATGCAATATACAGTTTTAAAGGAGGTTTCAGCACCTCCATACTCACTGCCCAAATAGCTGACACATTTTCATCTCTGTTTTGTTTACATCAGGGGCACATGCTAGTAGTCGTGCGTGCAGCTGTGGCCTTTGTTTGTTCAATATTCATAGAAACTCATTCTCACACAAAATAAAAACAACCTGTTATGACATCTGTACAAACGTGACACCACATCTCAGAGGATTACGCATGTAAATGTAATCTGTATGAGAGAATGCATATATAGGATGTATGAACTGTGCATGGCAGCAGAGAGGTTAAAGATGAGCATTCCACAACAGGCTGCAGGCTCAGGGACCAATCAGCTTGCAGAGCAGGGCTCAGAGGGCTTTGATTGGTTGCCTGGTAGCCCTGTTGTCATGATGATGGGAATCAGGTCTTGCCTGTGTGGTCTGTATCCAGGCACAGAAGTATACTGAAGAAAATGATATGGATGGATGGGCTGCAGAACTTTGTGTCCCTAGAACACACACACACACTCACAGCTTACTTAAGCACAAACTTAAACTGAATATATTTGTAATGACAGTGCTTCAGATTTTACTGCTGGAGCTGCTGACTGAAGATGACATATCATTTGGAAAACAGTCAAAGCCTCCAAGCATGTATTTCACCTCTGTACATTAAGTGTGCTGATTGATCCTGTCTACTTTGTTCTTTGCTAACAATACTTAAAATATGAACATATATCAGTCCTAAAATTAGAATTGTAGGATTTAATCCAAGCCATTATTCTCATGTGCAATGCCTTACTAATGTTTCAACTCCCATTTTCTTCTCCAGATGAAATATTGGAGATTAGTGTAGTTTACTAACCATTTTCTCATGTTTCTGTATACATTTATAAAAGCTCAGTTTCTTCTGTTTTAATTTCTTCCACTTGCTGTGTTCAACAACCACATGAGGGCACAAATGTTAAGGTTTTGAGTGTAGTTCTCTGCACAAGTGAGGATGCATTTTGACGCCTTAATGTGAGTTTTATCTATTTTTTTAGTTAATTCTTAATAGATTTCTTTATACAAAATGTATTTCTAATCTTTCAACAACAGTTATGAATAATTCACTTATGAACAAAAAACACTGAATTTCAAAGATTTTTATTAATGGAAGATGAATTAGTGAAGTTTTGCATAACTGGCTGTCTCTACATCATTTGTTTTGACACTAAAATGCAGCAGCACTCAACACAGCAGATTTCACTGAACACTAAAGTAAACACCATGCAGGGGAGCTGGGAAATGTAGGAATCTAGCTAACTTTTTAAACAATTACAGAAACATCAACGGCTGATGAAAGCTGAACATCCAAGCTGAGGCAGTGCAGGATGAATAGTGAGCAAGGGAACTATATCTACAGACAATATTACATTAAACCCATCTGAATTAACTGTGATTAATAGACATACGAGCTCCAGACACAAATGCACAAAGAAACACCAATCTAAGACAAGTTAGAACATCACACAAGTTTCTACTGAAGCAATCTAAGGCAAGCAAAAACTCAAAACAAAAAAAACTACTCATGTTTCATGAAAATGTGCCAGTGAAATGAAGCTTGAACGAGCTAAAAGTTAACAGGCTGCCATTTATTGCAGTAGATTTCATGCATGTTAAACTAAATGAAGTGCTGAGAAAAGTGGATATGACACCTAAAATAAAATGACAGCTAAATTGAAAATAAAACAGGTGTTGGTGAAAGAAACGTTTGATGAAAAGGTAAACTGCTGTAGCAACTATTAATCACAAAAATCTGAAATGAGAGTGAGTATGAAGCAAAAGTATCAGGCAAGACTTGATAATAAGCTATCTGCAGAGTTCTACCATCTCCAAATTACATGACAGTTTATGTAGATGTTGCCAATGATATTTATGAAGAAAAAGCACAAAAACTGAATTAGACAATTAGTCTTACTTTTGAAAAGCTAAAACATTTGGTGCATTTTTTGGACATAAATGTGTTTGTTTTTGTGCAAATGCAGTTGCTTCCAGATCAAATAAAATGGAAAGTTTTTCTTTTTGTAGAGTCACTGATTTTATCCATTTCTATCTACTGTTCGAAAACAGAAAAATCTATGAATTAAAAAACAAAACTGAAAATTAAATTGAACTGAATTAAATGAATTGGGTATCACGTATTTAAAGAAAAAAAGCTCTGCAGATATTTACTATCAGGTTCTACAAAAAGGAGAAAGGCCCTCTAAGAAATAAACAACTCTCAAGTTAAAAACAAGTGATTGCATCAGCAAAAATAAATTATAACTGATGTTTTTTGTTACTGATTTTAAAGATCGCTTCCTTTAATCCTTAAACTTCGCATCAAGTTTGAGCAACAACCTAAGTCATCAAAGCAATCAAACATTTCCTGGGCTGAGCGAGATTTATCAAACCAACAGGCCTTGTCTTGGATGTGATGAGGTTACATGTAGGCTTTTAAATGACCCCCACTACACTCATACACCTCTTCCAGTACTGACAGACTCTCCAGCTGTGCTTCTCTCCATCCTCCTCCTTTACTCGGCTGCAGAGACCACAGCAGCCTCTATGACTGTGCCCTCAGAGAAGTGTGGAAGTGCCACTTATGGCATCGTTACTGCTCTCTTTTATCAATTAAATGACCACAAACACTTTCCCTCTCTCGGCCTCACTCTATCATTAGCCTCAAATTTGAATACTGCTTGCAGAGTACACTCACTAACTAGGAGCAGAGGCTGGAGGCTGGAGTGTACAAGTTAGAAATCAAATCACTCCTTTATTACCTCCTTATTACCTCCTAATCCAGCCTTTCTGAGACTTATCAAGTCTCCCTGTCTTCTTCTGGGGAAGCTCGCTGATCTTAACACATACATACACACACTTCATCACAAGGGAGGGTGGGGGAATAAGCTCCATGAAACCACCTTGCTGTCACTTCATTTGCTTATGTTCCATACGAAGGTGGTTCTTGGCTCTATCATTGCCTCTCCCCTGTTATCGCTCTCTCTCTCTCTTATTCTCCCCAAGTGTGTCTCCTCCCCTGGCTGAGTGGCAAGCAGGCTTCAGCGGTTGGGTTCCTTTGATTCCAGCGGTGCCCGTTTCAGCCCACTTTGGCCCAGCTGAGGAAAGCAGGGATGTCTCGTACGGGGACGTTGCGGGTCAGCGCTTTGACACGCAAGTTGCGATCATCTGTGAGGAGAACCACCTCCCTGAAGAGCCTCACTGTCCCATCTGTATTTGACAAGGACAGTGACATAAGTTACGCAAAGTATTTTAAAATCTTGTTTGTAAAGGACAGTGGAACACAAGTAGAAATGAAAAACTGTCAATGTTGCGTACTTCTCTGATGAGGCATAAAATCTTTGGCTTTGTCTTTGCAGTAGTTGAGACAGCAGGACAGAATCACATCATCGTTGTTGCCCTGAGGGTAAAAAGAAACTAAGCAAGTGAAAAACTGTAGCCCACTGTGAAGTCTGAAATCACATAACCTGAATGTAATCTAATAAAGATTAAAAATATACACTTTTGGTAATTTTTTTCTACTCTATTTTTTCACCTGCTGTCCAGTGGTGTCTTCGCTGCGAAAGGCAATCGACTCAAGCTGACTTCCTCTGCTCGTCAGGGCTCTGAGGCACGGCTCCCTGGCTTCAAACCCTTTCTCCAGGAAGGCGACTGCCAGCTGAGCCTTCTCTTGCACTGCCTGTACATGGCTCGCACTAACATTATAGTTGCTGCGACTTCCAGCGTTGCGGCCTCCTGACCCCACTCCTCCGCCAAAGTTGTCCTGGCCTTTTGCTAGGCCATCCAACTCTGTGATCACTGTGGGAGATCACAGATCACGGCGTGAGCACACCTTAACAAAGCAGACTTTAGATTTCAGCTTTTCTTTTCTTTCTTACCAATGAGGGGCACAACTATGATGTATGTTCCACATTGAAGGAGTTTTTTCAGCCCTCCCAAGTGATCAATGAACCCGTTTGTATCTGGAACCAAGAAAAGAGGCCTCACTTCCAGCTCCAGCTGCCCACTGGTCTGCAGCACCGCCTGAAACACACAAACAAGTTTGATGTACTTAAAATGCATTTGAATGTAACTCATTTAAAAAAGATTCTGGATGTCCTTTAGAGCTGCTGTAATTTGACTTAAGTGATTTTCCATCCTTTTCTGATCTCTCACTAAAATTACAGGATGTTAAAAAGACATATTCCACTTCCAAATCATGTCTTCATTCAAATAATCATTCGTACAGCATGCCTGTTACCTGTATCTTATCTCTGCGCTTTTGTTGCTGTGCCAGTTTGTTGGCAAGAACGTGACGACGAGCCTTTAACTGTCTTATGTCATTCTCGCTGTCTCCCGCCTCCTCAGCATCCTCGTCTTCTTCTGATGCAGAGAGGGAGGATTCTGCCTCGACTATCACATCATCAGCCTGCCAAACAGAAAAGGAAAAGATGAGACCCATTTTTGATGTAGAAACTTTTGCTCTTCTGAACCGCAGTTTAAATTCATTTACATAATTTTGTGTTATCAGGTCATGAAAACAGGAAGGGGATCTTGTAAGACAGAAAGGACAAAGAATTCCCCCACCTCTTTCTCAGTGAGAGAATCCATCCTGCTCCTTGTATCCATGGAGTTGTTTGATGGTAGTGGAGCAGTAGCCACAGAGATGTATTTGCCCCCTTTGAAAGCCAACAGAGGCTCTTCCTGTCCACACAAAGCCTCCAGAAAATACTTGAGCACTGTGACTCTCTTGCAATCTGCGGCTATTGCCTGAGGAAAGAGGATGAAGGAGACATGTGCTTCAGAACAAGAAGACCGCGATTAAACTAGCATGTCTGAAGGTGAGCAAAGAAATCATTTCTTTTCACTCACCATTTCAGTATGTCTGTCGGTGTAACAGGGCTCCTGGGGAGCAGCCAGCAGAGGCACGAAACCAGCAAGGAGCCTGTCCTCTTTCAGCTGCAGCACAGTCAACTCCTCGTCTCCCTCGCTTTCGTCAGTGTCGGCTTTGTACAGCGGTACTTCCTCGTGGTCCACACATGCGAGCACGTTACATAGGTCAGCTAGGCACTGCCAAACATCCGGGCAGCCGCTGGGGAGAAAGACAAGCCATAAGTGATGGTGAGTATCTTGGTAAACAGAGCTTGCAGATTAGTCTAAGACAGTGATTTGAAGTTGGAACTTCTATATATTTTAATTAAAACAACATTCTGACTGATATGGTGTAATAACCCAGTCATGAATCAATAGATTAGTTTCAGTCTACTTTCACAGCTATCATCTCTCATTTTTTCTGTCAGACACACATTTGTAAGCCTTGTGGAGAAATGCTAAACACTCAGTTATTTCTCAGAAGTTCAGGAAAAATAAAAACAGTTTCTAAATAATAAACAGTGTTTTTAATTCTTTCTTGTGGTTGAAGAAACCAAAGAAATCAGTGAGTAGAGGTTCCTCACTCTATGCTGGAAGGTGGTGGGTTCCACAAATCCGGGTGTCCCAACATCCAGTCTGACCAGACTTTAATGCTTGGCAGTAGTTCCCTCAGGTCCAATAGAAAAGCAGAGACTCGCACCATACCCTCCAGCTCCTCCCCTTTACCTTCCTCTTCTCCATCAGCCATTGCAGCTGGATCTGAAAGTGGAAACAAGGTTTTTGTTTGTTTAAAACACTATAAACACAAACAACTGATTTAACATTGAAGTGATGTTAAAGTAAATTAAAAACACTGCAAATTTTTGATGGGACTATCTGTTGGGACAGAGATTCGCAAAATGTTGAAATAATTCTGTGTTTTATTAGCATCATTCATCGCAACTTCAAGTCATCAAGATACGACAACAAATTCGGTGACACGCGTCATCTATTTTGTAATCAAAAAGATTCACAAATCTTGTAAATTTACTCTTTTAATTCTTTCTTTATATGTAATTTTACAATTAGCACTTGAAAACAATTTGGGAAGAAAATTTCTTAAGATCGTTGTCTTTTCTGTTTAACCAAGTAGATGAAAAATTAAAGACAACAGCACTGACTTGCATTATTCAATAAAGTAGTCAGCTCTATGAATTTTTCCACTAATCATCGGTGACAGTTCAATAATCCTGACGTTGAGCTTTTCACCTGATGTAATGAAACCCCACTGATCAAATACTTAGAAAGCCCATAGTGTGTGTACCTGCAGGAGTGTCTCTGAGCAGCTCTGTGCAGCGCTGCACCAACAGTGCAAACATGCCCAGGCCCAGGGCTGTGCTTTGCTCTTGCAAAACAGACCTTACTTCACCTTCTTCACCTGACAAATGAGAGAGAAATTTAAATCAGCTTTAATCAGCGTAAAGCAATAAAGACTTGTTGAAAATGTCAAAGGCAATGTTTCATAGAATTACCTCTGCTATTGGCGTTGTGTATGGTGAACATGTTGATGGTAATGATCTTCAGCATGTGTGTGCTGCCTAGTAAGGAAGGGCCATGCTGAAGCAGTGTCCTGAACTCCTGCAGAACACGGCTCGCCACTTCAGGAAAAGACTCCATGCTGTGAATGCAGGACAGAAACATTAGAATATATCCACACTTATATAGCATTTTAAGAGCCAGACCGCATAAGATATCACTCACCCCACTTTGGTGAAGAGCTTTCCGTGTGCATGCAAGAAGCTCAGAATGAACCTTTTATGTAGCTGCAGATAAAAACACATGAAAGAAAGAATAAAAGAGGAGTCATTAATTGTTTGGCAACAGTCAAATTTAGCATAAAAAGGTTTAACAAGAAACATGGAAGAGCAAGGACAGATGTGGGGAGGAGCTAAAGTTGCAAATGTTGTGATAATTGAACTGACAGGCGACTTCAATTAGAAGTAACAAATAAAATACACATCTATGTCTCATCATTAATGAGACACAGAGTACTTTGGTGAGCGACTAAAACAGACTTCCTTTGTTTTGTTTACTGGTAATATTTGGGTTTCTTATCATATAAACTACAGACAAAAAGCAATCTGTACAGGAAAGTAAACAAGAGAACAGCAGTATAGAAACCTGTAATCTTCCACTCCTGAAAGCATCTTTTGCAGAAGCTGCTTCTTTCAGGCTTTTGTTTGTTCAGCAACACCAAAGTGAACAACTTATGAAGGACTCCAAACTCAACATGTAGCATTTATCACAGCACATGCTTTGAACCGTGACTGAGCAGGTCTTCTGAATTATTATGAACTGGGAGATATGAAGTACGTTCTGGCAGCTTTGGACTGCAGTAAAGAGATTTTTAAGCGTATTCTTTGCCATTGTTCCAAGCCATAACTCTAATGGTTAAGTGGATAAATAAAAGTTCTTGCTCTGGTAAAACGCTGCAGGGACTTTTTCTTGAGAAGGAACAATATGTGCTGAAAAAGTCTTGTTCCTTTTGATAAATGGATGATGAATCATTGCTGGGAAAATAAAAATAAACCTCAAAGAGCCAAATAACTAGAGAAGAAGGAGAAACGAGGCGGTTTGAAATTCTTTGAACAAAGAAACGTTGATGAAAACAAAGGATGAGTAAACGGCAACAAAGGCCCAAAAATTATCAAAATATTAATTAGATAACAACGGGGAAAAAAGGGCGAAGGTCTGAATTAAGGGTAAACAACGGAGCTACAACAGCTGACCAGCAGATTACATTCAAAGGGAGAGAGGGAATGAAGCTGTTGACTAATTCAGAACATATGCAGGCAGAATATGTGTTTAAAAAACATCAACATTATCAAACCTGCTAAATCTACCACTATTATTTGATACATTTTATGTCAAGGAATGAGAAAGAGTGAATTAAGACTTTTGTGTTTGAGTAGGAAGAAAGTAAAGTAAAAACAAAAGTCCAGGATCTTACATCACTAGCACTGAGATTGCCCAGCTCTCCGTCCTGTTCGGAGTCTCTGCTCGATTCACTTCCTCCTCTCTGTGAGGACGGGGTTGACGCTTGTCTGCTGGGGCGAATCCAAATCTCTACACGTGCTCCATCTTCCCCTCTTCCTCTTCCTCTTACCGCTGGACCCCTGGAGCCTCCTTCATGCTCTTGTTTCCTCCTTTGCTCCAGCTGCTCCGCCTGCGAGTACAAAGCCTTTGAACATGTGGCTCTTTTGCTGCCTAAGGCCACACTACAATCAACAGGTGTACTAGAACTTGGCGTGCTCATAAGGAAAATTAATTACCGAAGCGTCTGTCCTACCTTTCTCTTGGCTTCCTCAAAGAGACTCATCAGGCTTTCTTTTGCAGTCAGGATGGGGTTAGAAGCTGCCAGGCTGCGCATGTAATAATACACAGCGTCCAACTTCCGCTTCTGTAAAAGGGAGAAAAGGGAGGAAAGTCACATTTTCAATTCCAAAGATGTTCAAGTAAATAGACAAGATGTCATAAACAAACAAAAATCATCTCCTTACTGTGTAGACAGCCAGCAGGGCCAGCTGGTTGTACGGCCGTCCATTTTTGGGGGCAATCTGCTGGGCTTTCAGGTACCAGCTGAGACAAAATACGATAAGAAGATAGAAGCATTAATCTTTTTAAAAAGCTTCATTTTGTGTGACCTTGTGACATAATGTGGCTTCAGGGCAGAAATATTGTCAATACCAAGAGAGTTATAAACTGCACTCTACCTGCGAGCCTTGCCATAGTTGGCTGAATCACTGGCCTGTTCCCTATAACGTGCGATGTCTCCCTGACATATCATACAGCGCTGAGCACTGATGAGTGCGTACTTGACCTGAGAGAGCCAGACACGAGAAAAACTTTTCACATTTCACAACTTCAAAGGTTTTGTTAGGTCAGAGGTGTAAACTAGCACAAGTTATAAGCAATACATTTGCCAACAGCATCTGTCTCAGCATTAGAGGTTGTGTGACTGTTGTATTGTTATTTTGAAATAAGTTTTTTTCCCCCCTTCAGTAGTATCATAAAATTTCTGTTAGACATGATTTTAAGATTTTTTTTATTTCATCAATAAAATCACATGAAAGGTAGAGATAAAAATGCAAAGGAATACTGCTGTACCGTTTTGCGTAATGGACGAGCCCTGATAGCAATGCCATCCATATAATCCTCCAACTTAAACTGATAGACTGTTTGCAGCTTCTGAAGCAGTGCATCAAAGAACAAGGCTCCCTGCAAAACACAGACAATGATTACCACAGAAATCCAAAACGATGCTGGAACCATAAAACTGTTGAGGACCAATGATTAGACCTTAAACATAACAGTATTCAAGGGAAGGTCAAAACTGTACGTCCAAATATAGCTTCACATCTTTCCCAATATGCCCAAAGGTAGTATTATAAACCCCTTTTCTCAATATAAAGAGAACATGCCTCACCTCATCAAGCAGCGTAAGCAGCATGTTCCTGATATGAGGAGTGTTGTCATGAGTGGGATCTTTAAGTAGCTGTCTGAAGCGCTCTATGACCTGGTAAAAGACATTCTTCCACAAAGCTTGATCCACGTTCTGAGAGTCTGAGAACTCGATGTCTGTCAGGACGACCTGCTCGTACAGCCCCAAAAGGTCAGCTCTAGAACACAGAGCACAGCGGGATGATGCTTTTCACAAAGTATGCCGACAGCGCTCAGTCTCGTAAAGTTCATCATCAGAGAGACTCAAGGGGAAGCAGACAGCCAAACAAGGAATTTAAAACAACAGAAAAATATTTTAAGTTTTCTGTCTACTCCAGTTATTAACCCTTACCTGAGCTGAGCCATGCGATCCAAACCGTCTGCACTCACTCGGTCTCTGGACAGCAGGTTACTAAGCTGCAGCTCCTGTGCGTCCGCGGCCCTCAGCAGCCTCCCCATCTCCCCCCGGGCTTGTTGCTCTGCCTCTTCTGCAGACAAACCAGCTCCTGAAGCTGTCTGGGAATAACCTGCACTTTTGTAACTCCCGCAGAACTGATTTACTCCAGGGCCCGAGTACAAACCATTACTGGGGCTCATTTGATATGGCCCCATGTGATAAGGATATGGATACCGCTGGCCAGTGGAATTACCAGGGTTATGTGGGTTGCCAGTGGGCATTGGGTAGAAGTAGGGATTGTCCGATTTTTGGAATTTGTAGTAGGCTATAGCAGCTTGTTTGGATCGAAAGTTCTCACCCTGTGGGACACCCGGAGGACTGCCTGCAACCTCATCATCTGTGTCCAGAAAGTGAAGCTGTCCATATCCAGTCCCTGTCTGAAGATAAACCGGCTGCTGAAGGGATGAGTGCTGTGAGGACTGGGTGTTGGTGAGAGCAGGTTTCTGGTCAGGGTTATTTGGATCCCAGAGGCGTCTCATTCCTCCCCCTCTGCCTCCTCTACTCCTGCCAGCCGCTCCTCCTCTTATTCCACCAAAGAGAAGCCTTTGCCCGACCTCATGTGAATGGGACACGTCTGTTCGAGTTGGAAGCACCAGAATGCCTCCACCTCTCCCACGTGGAAGCGGGCTTTGAGAGTGTTGTTGTGCCGCACCGCCGCGTGACGAGGTACCCGACTGTTTTTCAAGAGAAACCCTGAGAATTCCCCTACATTCACCTTTGTTTCCCTTTGATCTGTTCCTTTCCTCCCTTCGCCTCTCTGAACTCAGCTCTTCTTCCCCACCTCTTCTCCTCCTCCTTCTATCTTCTGCTACGTCGCTATACTCACTCCCTTCGAGGGATTCTGTAGAAGACTCACCCTTGGCTGTCCAGCTTTGCAGATGACTCTTTCTTCCTTCTCCACAATTGGCCGTACTTTCTTTGTTGTTCAGCCTTGACTCAAAGCAGAGCCACTTGGTACCATCCACATCCATTCCTCGTCCAGGGCCGTCCAGGCTAGTCACACTGCTGGCTGAACTACTGCTGTAAGTTCGATTCCGTGAGCGCCTAATATCTGATTTGGAATAGCGTTTTGAGGTCGGGGTTTTGATGTTTGCACTGGGTTTGTTTCTGTCTCCTCTATCTACAGCCTTGTCTACATTTCTTTGTGTCCTAGCATCTTTCTCAGCATCTCTCGACCGGTTGTTGTTGTTGTCACCTCTTCTGTTTTCTCTTCGTTCCTCTCTGCTTTTGCTTTGATGTGTCTCTCCTTGTTTACCTGGTTTGTTATCTTTATCAGTCTCTGATGCCTTCCTGTCTCTTTCAGCTTTCCTTCGATCCCCCTTCCCTCCACCACCCACGTTATTCTCTGCTCGACTGGCATCCTGATTCTTCTCTTTCTCCTTCTCTCCTGCTCTTCTCCTGCGGTTTCCCCTTTCCCTCCTCTTCTCTACCTTCTCTTTCTCCTCTTCCTCTTTTGAGCCTCCTCCCTGAACTCTACCTTTTTTGTCAGTTGTTTCCCCGCTCCTGCAACTAAGCTCCTCAACATCACCTTCACACCCAGCGTTATCCTTTTCTTTTACACTGAGCTTCTCTATTTTGACAGATATTTTTTCCACAGAGGAATCAGAGGGTAAAGGAGGCTTGTTCACATCCCTGCTTCCATGCTTTTTGTTGGTCTCACTGGATTTAACCTGTTTGACATTTCCCTGCATGCCTTTCACTTCTCTGTCTTTACGTCCCTGCTTCTGTGTACAAGTTTTTTTGTTCTCCTCCTTGTCCTCTGAAATCAGCTGAGACTCTTGCTCACTTTTCTGGTCATGCTTCTTCGGGGGAGGTTTATCCTGCTCGCTTCCTACTCCACAGTCCTTCCCATGAATATTCCTCCGGCTCCCAGGTTGATAAAATTCTCTGTCTGGTTTGCGAGCTTTTTTTGTTGGCTTTGCCGCTCCAGCAGGTTCCTGTTGTTCCCTGTCATTTTCAGCGAGGCATTTCCCCAGATTTGCTTCAGTTTTACTCTGACACCCATCACCTCCTTTATTACAGTTTTGAGTTCCACCGCCATCACCTCTCATCCTGTTATCTTCCATATGGTCAGCATCCACCCCGCCATCTGTGCACCCCTGTCTCTCAAAAACTTTTTCCGAGACGTTCCTTCTCTCATGCTGAGAGGGTTGATCATGCTCATATGAATCAGCAGTCAAAGGATCACTGTGACCGGCTTCTCCCTCCTCACTCTCACAGCGGCGCCGTCCATGTCCAGGAACTGGCTGGTAGCGCTGCATATCAGGACGCTTCCCTTCACGTTTTTTGTGTTGTTTATTTACATGTTGCTCTCCTGTAGAAAAAAAAAATACAAGGTCATTTAGCAACTCAAAAGAAATATTGGCTAATTTTGCCACACTTGTGCTTTACAAGTAAAGGCTGCAATTGGCATAAAGTTCAAAGAATAGACCAAATTTAACAAGTTTAACAAGTAATAATAATAATAACTTTATTTGTATAGCACTTTTAAAAAACAGAATTTTACAAAGTGCTTTGACATGTAGTCATAGAGCACACAGAAAAGGACAGATAAAAACAAAAACCTCAGTTAAAATGTAACTGAAGGCCATTTTCATGTCATAAGGAACTCCGACAATTCAAGAACCATGCAACGTAACATGAGACCATGAGGACCAAAATAACAACATAAAATAGTTAAGAAAAAAGGAAAATGCAATTAAAAGGGGGGATGAAAGCAGAAACAGGATAGTAAATATAAAAGGCAATATCAACAATGATAATAAAATAATAACAGGTTATATTGCTAATAATAGTTGTGATAAAATAGAGCAACAGAAATGAGCAAGAGATAAAACAATAAAAGGCCTAAAAGGTTCATTGAGAAAAGAGTACAAGTATAACAAAAGCTAAAAAGACAGTAAAGCCGAAATAAGGTAGAGGTAAAAGAGATAAGAGATGACAGATAAAAGAAATTTAAAAGAAAATATATCCACATTGTTTATCAAGACTGACTTTGTCACCCAGTACAATGACAGGTTTCTAATATTTTGACCGTTTCTATATAAACCAGCCTACATTGTGAGCACCTGGGCAATCTCACGCAGTTTCATACAACAGCTCCACAGCAAACTCTGCTCTTAATTAGCTTCTAAAATTTCCCTTTATGTTGGCATAATAAGTTAGGGTTATTGTTGCACTTTATATTTATTATTTCAGACATAGTATGAAGTGGTGTTAAATGAGATTGTTTTATATTAAAGGGAGTCCCTAATATTTTGACCACTTCGTAGCCATACAATAGGGGAGTGAAAGATTTAGGACACGTTTCAGCTCTGAAGCAAACCATTAACAATCCAACTTTAACAATTATTTGAAACAAACTAACAAAAACCTATTACTAAGTGTCCATGGTGCTGTGGTTAGTTGTTTTACTGTGGGTGATACGGCACAACAAGGTCTTTATAGAGGTACTTTTGTGGGTAAGAAAAGTCTCGGTACATAAGAGCATTTGATGTACGGTACTCATTGTCTCAGCATATGGACGGATGAATCTGCGATACTTTCAGCACTTTGTTGTTTTAACACAGTTTTTCATAACACATTTTAAAGCTTTCAATCAAAAACTCTCAGAAGTCTATCGACACAAATGAAACTGAAGATCTTAAAGACGTTGGATGATTTTTTTTAACGTTGATTTTCGTTAAAATAACGTGATGAACTGTATCGTACTACGTTTAAATAAATGCATACTCTGAACAAATATCCGTAATCGAGTCAGTATATATCATATGCTGCAGAAGGATACAACAATATCTAGATGAAATAAATTCATTTCAAAGCCAAACTTTAACCCTCCGTCGTTGTTTCGTGAAGGGGGCGTTTAAAACAGACCGCGCGGACCACAGAGCACAGCGCTAGCTAGCTAACAACATTAGCTTGTTACAAACTTAGCAACTCCTCAGGTTACTTTTAGTTCACTTCGCATACGCCTACACTTAATCTAACGACTTTCCCGAGTATTGACCCCTTCAAATGACCAAGTTCAGTTCCTCTCACCTTTATGGCAGTCAGTTATATTGACTGAATTCGACGCTTCAGCTCGGAGTTCCGCAGCTGAGATTCGCACTCGGTCTAGTTCGTTCGCCATCTTTGCTTTCACTAAAACAAACACAACAAGTATGGTGGCCCTCCTGGGTCAAACGTACTCAAATACGCTGGATGAGGCATGTTCATCAGGCGTCGTTTCAGCGGTGACTAACGTGTGAAGTATCTGTGTGCCAAATTTAGGCTTCAATTAATTTGCATGTTTTATTACAAGTTAGCTTTTGAGAGCTGAAAGTGTAACTAGCTAAAATTATACTTTTTTTCTAACTAAAACAGGACAGAAAAATAGTGGTAGACTATGGATACAAAGCAAATAGCCGACTTGCATAACAGGAATATTTCGGCATAAAATTAAATTAGGGTCAAACACACCGTAACACCGATTTAGACACCCCCTCGAGAGATGAATGTTGCCGACCGCTTGTTTCTGTAGTTATACCAACTTAAGTGACAACCGCACGATAGCAATACACAGCAGTCTGAGGAGCCATAAACAAACCTCAACCAAAACGCCACTCTATAGCCACAAATAATGCTCAGAACAGCACCTAACTTCATAGGGCCCTAGCCGCAGCACAAGCCACCAAACATCTTTTTAACTTTGCCTAATTTCTTTAGCAAAGAGACTACACACAACTCACCTACTCTCTTCCAGCAGCTGCTTGTTTGTAACGAGACCTTAGGCCAGTCTAATACTAACTGCTGAGGGGTGATGCAGCTCAAGGAAGAACATTTATGATCACTTCTTTATCATTTCCTTGAAGTAATAACCACCATATTGTACTGTTGATTGAGTTTGGTGCTGTTCTGAGCATTACTTGTGGCTATAGAGTGGCGTTTTGGTTGAGGTTTGTGTATGGCTCCTCAGACCACTGTGTATTGCTATCGTGCGGTCGTTACAAAAGTTGGTATTACTAAAGAAGCAAACAGTCGGCAACATGCATCTCTCGACAGGGTGTCTAACTGGGTGTTACGGTGTGTTTGACCCTACATTAATTTTACGCCAAAATATCCCTTTAACACAAAGCATGCTCATCTCTTGATCTGTGTCTTTACTTTATGCAATCTCTCTTTTAAAGCAGATAGGTCCAATATCTTAACACCACATTGCTTTATGTAATCAGATATATCATATGATAAAATGGTGCTAAATAATTATTGCACAGTTTTCCCAATGAAGGCACCAATCCAGTTGTGGATTAAAAAATATGTCAATCAACACTTAAGTAAAAACTTAAGTCATTACACTACCATTTATGAATACTGTAAACCTAATGCCTGTTTGTGTTCAAAATCCAATAAATAAAACTGTTGAACAAAAAAAAAAATTGATAAGTTGTTTTCTCTTCTGAAGTGTGTCGTTACATAACTCTTACTTAGGCCTTGACCTACATGAAGCCCAGGGAGAGGATGTTAAAAGGTCTGCACATTATATAAAGAAAAGACTGTCAGAGATCCTGCAGACAAGAACACCATCAGTTTCACACAAAAGCCACTAGATGTCAGGGTTGTTTTCTCATTCCCCATTTGAACTCATCGATTGTTATCCCACCCTTTGGATTGACAAACTTTCTCTCATTTACTTTAATTTATTTTAAATGAATTATTACATCTGCAGTGCAACACTTCCACTTCATCACAGAGTTCCCTAGTTTTTCTCACCCACATGACTATCAGACAAACTAACAAACTGCATGAAAATGTGTGGGAGAGGATTGTGGCATTGTCAAGAAACAACGAAATACACAGATGAAGCAGTGTGTGTGTGTATTTGCATATGAGAGAGGTTCATTAAAGTAAAAGCAGACATCATCTCTCTGGCTCATGCTAAAGTAAACAGCTCATCTCCCTAGCAACACAAAATTAAAGGGCCAGAGTCTCTCTCTGTCTTTTCCCTTCTATGAATCTCCTAGAGATGATTTATAACCACGAGTCAAACTTACATCTCCCATTCATATGTTCTTTTATTACCTATCTAAATTATTAATTGACAGTGCTTGATGGACTAAGTGCATAGCTATCAGGAATGTCTACACACACTTTTAAAAAGTTGGATTACTCCAGCACTATGATATGGGTTTCATCCATTTCATGCAACAGCCAAGCAACAGGCAGATGGCTAATGACAATCCAAAGTTCCATCTATCATATATTCATTTTTCTACATGTGTTTTATTGTATTGAAGTTAGTTCTGCTTCTCCAACCAGTTACTGCCTTGTTTGATTAATTCAACCGGTGTCTCAATTACCTTGTTATATGAAAAAGGTGAAATCAAATTAAGGTTTGGTTAGGATGACACGTTGATAATATTTATTTTCATTCCATTTTTGCTCTCAGTTACTCTTTCTGCTTTTCAATTCATTACAGCAGTTGTTCATATTTGTGGTACAAACCATAAGTAGCATTGTGTGTGATTGCAGAGTACTGTTTTCTGGCAGAATCTCCTAACAAAGCTCAAGCACACCAGCGGTTGTAGAATGTTTCGTGCCTGCAGTGGAGAGGTGTGAGAGAGAGAAAAAGAGAGAGAGGGAGAGAGAGAGAGAAGGGGGGAACCGGAAGTTGTGGGCGTGTGTCTCCCCCATGTGTGTGTGCTCCTGTGCTGCCGTGTGTGTATGTGTGCAGAGTTCTGATTGTCAGTGCTGCACCACAGTGCAGGTGGAGCAATGCAGGATGGTATGAGACACAGAAGGACAGATAGGGGGAGGCAGGGAGGAGGTGGCGAGGGAGGGAGGGAGGGAGGGAGGAAGGAAGAGAGAGAGGTGAGGAGGCATGATGCAGGAGGAGAGGAGAGGAGAGGAACAGGAGGAGGAGAGACTGTGAATACAGATGAGGAAAAAAGCGGGGGAGTTTTTGCAGGTGAATTTCTGACACCAGGGGGGGTTTTCTCCAGCACAATCATATCTCCATCTCTTCAACCTCCACCTCAGTCTCCCTCTTTCTCTCTCTCCATCTCCCTTGTTCTTTCAGTCTTTCTCCATGTGTCTTCCCCAACTGGGGCACCATGAGGTGGGAGGAGATGACTTTTAGAGATGACTGGAGTGGTGGGGGAGGACAGACGGGGGAATACTGTCAGAAGGGAAAGGTGGGACATTGTGGTTGATGAAAAGGCTGGAGTTGAGATACTGGTATGAAAAAAAGAGAGAACAAAAATGACAGGAGATGAAACTGAGACGACTGAAATGGGATCATAAGTAGTGAAAAAGACAGAAATGAAAAGAAGGCGAGTGTGTGTAGGAGAGACAGACAGAAAAGCACAGGGAACTAGAAAGTGAGGCGGGCAGAGGCTTGTGTGACGCATACTTGCTGGCACTAGATGTTTGGAATATTTCCATATCAACTGGTTTAAATGTATAATTCACAAAAGGGGATTGAGGGAGTGACGGAGAGAGGAATGAGCGACAAGACAATATGAAATTAAGTGCATGGAGAGATGTGTCACTGCAGTTTCAAGTAAGGGCATAAATGTAACGCAGATTGTTGCACTAAACAATGTTAACTGCATTTTCTTCAACTCATCCATCAACAGATTTAAAGATGATGATGATATTCAGATATCAAAGCTGTAACTCTCACCTCTTGCTATGCCCTCTTTTAAAACCCCTTTCATAAACACTTCTCCCTTTAAAGCTCATGTGAGAAGTCTTGTACAGTATAGGAAACAGACCGAAAGATCAGTGATGTTTGTCTACAATGTTCAAAATTATCAAATCCAATACTGACCTTTTCTATATTGTCATTTTTAATGCCTCTAACTGCCGTGAGGGGGAGAGTACGCTGATGAAACAGCCTTATTTACTTTTGACACAGCAAATATTCACAGTGAGTGATAAATTTCACAACAAAAAGAAAACTGGAAGAGATTTTTTTTGTCAATTAACACCACTTTCGCAAGGATAAGATGAAATAAGCAATGATATATGAGTTACCACTTTGTCCACTGGAGGCACCAAAGTCAACACAGACAGAACGTTACTCACAAGAGCTTTAAATACTTTCAAAGTTTTAAAGAACTCTTTACTTTTTGCACAGTTCCATATGATCTGTTCGATTTCAGCTTTTAACTATTAAAAACCTGTATTTTTCCATCATATTGAAAAAAAAACCTACATGTCATAGGCTGCACATTTCATCACAATTTAACAGGAAACTTCTTTTAATTATTTGAAACTTTGTTTGGGATCTCAACAACGAATATGTTCATATGAATAGTGTTTGGCTGCCACTAGACTGTCCTTTGGTTCATCCTGTTTGATGAGCCTCCATGGAAAAAAAAAACAAAAAACAGTCCGCAGGCTTTTTGCTGCCTTTTCTCAACCAACTGTTAGTCACTTCTTAAAAAGAGTGTTGATTCTTCTTATGTACTGCACAGTGAATTGAGTTTTATTTGTAAGTTTGTAAGGACTACCCCATTGGCAGGTCTGTAAGTTTGGAGAAGTTTATGATGGACCAGCGTGTTGAATTTAGTGGTTTCTAAACTGCGATCACCTTATCTTTCATGTAAAATGACATTCAGTAGGCATCTTGAGTGTTCATATAGATTTAAGAGCACTTAGTCTGTACAAAATGTACCACTGTGTCTGAACCCTGTTTATGAGGTTATGATTCACATTGCAGCTCTAGTCCTTGTCTGAACTGATCAAAAAGGTTCCTTACCACCAAAACTATTTTCAACAGACTCTTATTTTGTGAAACTCTTTTAGACAATCAAGGTCATGCAGCTGTACTGAATATCAGTATGGCTGCAATCATCAGCCTGCAGTCACATGCATACATCTGAATCACGTCCACGTTTGTCTGGCTCGGTGGCAGAATGGCCATCCTTCAGTTTGAAGGTTTGTGGTTTGATCCCTAGCCCCTGTAGTCTATATCAGAGTGTCCTTGAGCAAGACACTGAACACTTCCTTGCTTGGCTGCCAGCAGTCTGCCATCGGTGTGTGAATGGTGTTATTTAGTGATGGACACTTGTTGTAGCAGCCTCTGCCATCGGTGTGTGAATGAGTCAAAATGACATGTAGTATTAAAGTACTGTGAGTCATCTCAAGACTACCGGTACTGTCCAGTTACCATGCCAGTATTTG